TAGTGACCACTCAGGACACCCTAGCAACCGCCTAGCAACGCCTTAGCAACCACTCAGAATACCTTAGCAACCACCTAGCAACACCTTAGCAACCACCAAGCAACCACTTGGGACACCTTAGCAACCGCCTAGCAACACCTTAGCAACCACCTAGCAACCAGTCAGAACACCCTAGCAACCGCCTAGCAACGCCTTAGCAACCACCAAGCAACCACTCAGGACACCCTAGCAACCACCTAGCAACACCTTAGCAACCACCTAGCAACCACTCAGGACACCCTAGCAACCGCCTAGCAACGCCTTAGCAACCACTCAGAATACCCTAGCAACCACCTAGCAACACCTTAGCAACCGCTTAGCAACCACTTAGGACTCCTTAGCAACCACCTAGCAACACCTTAGCAACCACCTAGCAACCACTCAGAACACCCTAGCAACCACCTAGCAACACCTTAGCAACAACCTAGCAACCACTTAGAACACCCTAGCAACCGCCTAGCAACACCTTAGCAACCACTCAGAACACCCTAGCAACCACCTAGCAACATCTTAGCAACCACTCAGAACACCCTAGCAACCGCCTAGCAACGCCTTAGCAACCACCTAGCAACCACTCAGAACACCATAGCAACCACCTAGCAACAGCCTAGCAACCGCCTAGCAACATCTTAGCAACCACCTAGCAACCACTCAGGACACCCTAGCAACTGCCTAGCAACGACTTAGCAACCACTCAGAATACCCTAGCAACCACCTAAGCATGCTATGTGACATGCTAATTCATACTAGAATCATGCTAGTAACATGCTAATTCATACTAGAATCATGCTAATAACATGCTAATCCATACTAGAATCATGCTAGTAACATGCTAATGCATGCCAGAATCATGCTAATAACATGCTAATTCACGCTAGAATCATGCTAGTAACATGCTAATTCATACTATAATCATGCTAATAACATGCTAATTCATGCTAGAATCATGCGAGTAACATGCTAATTCATGCTAGAATCATTCTAGTAACATGCTAATTCATACTAGAATCATGCTAAAATCATGCTAATAACCTGCTAATTCATACTAGAATCATGCTAGCAGTATGCTAATTCATACTAGAATCATGCTAGTGACATGCTAATTTATTCTAGAATCATGCTAGTAACATGCTAATTCATGCTAGAAGCATGCTAATAACATGCTAATTTATACTAGAATCATGCTAATAAAATGCTAATTTATACTACACTCATGCTAATAACATGCTAATCCATGCTAGAATCATGCTAATGCATGCTAGAATCATGCTAATAACATGCTACTTATCCTTTTTCAAACTTTGAAAAAACTTTTTCAAACATGCTAATTTATACTAAAATCATGCTAATAAAATGCTAATTTGTACTACACTCATGCTAATAACATGCTAATCCATGCTAATCCATGTTAGAAACATGCTAATGCATGCTAGAATCATGCTAATAACATGCTACTTATACTTTTTCAAACTTTGAAAAAACTTTTTCAAACATGCTAATTTATACTAGAATCATGCTAATAAAATGCTAATTTGTACTACACTCATGCTAATAACATGCTAATCCATGCTAATCCATGCTAGAAACATGCTAATGCATGCTAGAATCATGCTAATAACATGCTACTTATACTTTTTCAAACTGTTTTTAAACTAAACAAACTATTACCAACAGGCTTTGTCAAGCCAGCCTCAAAGTTTGTCTCGACGAACTTTACTGTCTAGTTTTTATTTATTCTTCTTCTGAGACTAAAATTCAAAATCTATCTGCTCCTTGAACTTTCAAACTATTACCACCAAACTCACACCAGACCTCCAAACTGGTCTGACTCTTTATGCTATATCTTTTCCGACTGATCCGACTTTCGGTTTTCCGAAAAACGTCCCGGGACTGTCGGAAAAATCCCATAGACTTAACATTGGATCAAACTTTGTGACCTCATAACTCTGCGTCAGACTGTTGCACAGACTTCTAACTGGGCTCATTTAACTCAGACTATCAAACTGCCAATGACTGATCACCTTTAAACTTTCTAGCCACGCCCTAGCAACCACTTTTGGACCCTAGTAACTGTCCCATAGACTTCCATTCAATAGACTCTCATTGACTTAACATGGGATCAAACTTTGTGAGCTCATAACTCTGCATCAGACTGTCCTACAGACTAATGGCTGAGCTTATTTAACTCCGACTACCAAACTACCAATAACTGATGAGCTTTTAACTTTCTAGCCACACCCCTAACTACCACATACTGCACCCTAGCAACTGTCCCATAGACTTCCATTCAAAAGACTCTCATTGACTTAACATGGGATCAAGCTTTGTAAGTTCATAACTCTCCGTCAGACTGTCATACAGACTAATGGCTAAGCTCATTTAACTCAGTCTAGCCAGCAGCCAATAACTGATGGCCTTTTAACTTTCTAGCCGCACCCCTAACTACCACATACTGCACCCTAGCAACTGTCCCATAGACTGTAATTAGCTGTGCAATAAAATACTAATAATTCTAACATGCTAATGACATGTCAATCATGCTAGCAACATGCTACTCATATGCTAATCATGCTAATGACATGCTAACTCATACTGGAAACATGCTAATGACATGCTAATTTGTACTAGAATCATGCTAAGAACATGCTAACTAATGCTAGAATCATGCTAGTAACATGCTAATTCATGCTAGAATCATGCTAGTAACATGCTAACTCATACTAGAATTATGCTAATAACATGCTAACTCACGCTAATTTTACTACAATCATGCTAATAACACTACTTCATGCTACAATCTGGCTAGTAACATGCTAATTAGTGCTAGAATCATGCTAATTCATGCTAATAACATGTTAATCCATGCTAGAATCATACTAATAACATGCTAATTCATGCTAGTAACATGCAAATCCATGCTAGAATCATGCCAGTAACATGCTAATTCATACTAGAATCATGCTAATGACATGCTAATTCATACTAGACTCATGCTAATAACATGCTAATTCATACTAAAATCATGCTAGTACCATGCTAATTCATACTGGAATCATGCTAGTAACATGCTAATTCATGTTAGAATCATGCTAATAACATGCTAATTCATACTGGAATCATGCTAGTAACATGCTAATTCATGCTAGATTCATGCTAATAACATGCTAATTCATACTAGAATCATGCTAGTTCATCCTAGAATCATGCTAGTAACATGCTAATTTATGCTAGAATCATGCTAGTAACATGCTAATTCATGCTAGAATCATGCTAATAACATGCTAACTCATACTAGAATCATGCTAATAACATGCTAATTCATACTAGAATCATGCTAATTCATACTAGAATCATGCTAGTATCATGCTAAATCATGCTAGATTCATGCTAGTAACATGCTAATTCATGCTAGAATCATGCTAATAACATGCTAATTCATGCTAGAATCATGCTAATAACATGCTAATTTATACTAGAATCATGGTAGTAACATGCTAATTCATACTAGAATCATGCTAGTGACGTGCTAATTCATACAAGAATCTTGCTAATAACATGCTAATTCATGCTAGAATCATGCTAATAACATGCTAATTCATGCTAGAATCATGCTAGTAACATGCTAATTCATGCTAGAAACATGCTAACAACATGCTAATTCACGCTGATTTTACTACAATCATGCTAATAACACACTAATTCATGCTAGAATTATGCTAGTAACATGCTAAATCGTGCTAGAATCATGCTAATTCATGCTAATCCATGCTAGAATCGTACTAATAAGATGCTAATTCATGCTAATAACATGCTAATATATGCTAGAATCATGCTAATAACATGCTACTTATACTTTTTTAAACTGTTTTTGAACTAAATAAACTATTACCAACAGGCTTTGTCAAGCCAGCCTCAAAGTTTGTCTCGACGAACTTTACTGTCTAGTTTGACATACAATAAACAATAAGGTGCATTCTTACATGTCAAGACAGCAGTTTGAGCTTCCACAAGAACAAATACAAACTAAGAAGGTATGAGTACACACTCGCTGTTTAAATTTTGATCATTTAGAAAGGAATACTTCACGGTATGTCTTTAATTGCTGAATTAAGTTCATCTAAGCTGTTTATAACCAATATTTCATTTATTATATAAGAAATTTGCCATAGCTTGACAAAAATGAATGGATAAAATGCATTTATTATAAAAGGAATGCTTATGATCAGTACTTTCATGCAAGGGTAAACAAGTTCCAAGTAAGTTCATTTTTAAATGGCTGGATTTTGCTAGCAAAAATTAGCAAAAGCAACAGTAAACTTTGAAGCACCATTAGCCAACATATACATGAAACCATAATGGAGTCAAGTCAAAATTGTTTCTGACACACTTCTTTCTTTTGGCGTACTGCCATCCCCCTTAAATAAAAAAATAAAAAATAACAAAGGACAAACACGTAAAACTTACATTAAATAAAAGTACACTTTAAAAAATGTCTACAGGTACAACACTGTTCTTCTCTCTCAGCCGCCATCATTGTTGTGTTGTGCAGAGTGACTCCTTATGTTTATACATAACTTATATTTGATTGTAACTTTCGTTTAATGTAGATTGTTACATAGATTGTAACTTTAAAACAATAACTATTGTAAAAAGCGCTATACGAATAAACTTGAATTGAACCTTTACAGCCTCACCAGCTGCAACACAGAGTTCGAAAACAGTATACCATCACACAGCCTTTTAAAACTTCTTTTTGCCTTCAAACAAACAATGAAATAGAGCTTTGCTTGACATATTAAGGGTGTGTTCAGTTACAGTTTGACTTGATTGCTTTTCATAGGAACCAGTTAACTTTTTTCTATTGTTTCTGAAATCCCCCGACTGATATGAATGGAGAGAGCTCTGGTGAGGCTCTCGATCTGTGAGCGGAGGAACCTGCGATCCTCTTGTAGGTCCTGTACCTGTTTCTCCAGAGCTTCAATCTTTTCCTGTTTGCTTTCCAGCAGACAGTGGAGCTTGGTCATGGTCAGCTTAACACTGCAGTGTACTTTTTCCATTATGGGAGGTGTTACTAAAAGAGAGATAGAGAGTTACATTCCATTGAGAGTTGAAACATTCTCTAAACAGTACCGCATTTAGTTACACATTTAAAAGAACATGCAAAAATTTCACTGACAAAACCCAAATTTCTGGTTGGGATTAAAACAAACAACACTGTGGGTAATGTGAAAAATCTACTCATTATGTAAAATTTTATTTAGTGAATTTAACAGGAATTTTGCGATTAATCCTTTCGTTCCAAACCTGTTTTGAACACAGAGGAAGATATACTGAAGAATGTTGGGGACAGTGTTGCCAACTGAGCAATTTTGTTGCTAGATTTAGCAACTTTAATACTACCCTAGCAATGTCATTCAATTATTCATTCATTTTCTTGTCGGCTTAGTCCCTTTATTAATCCAAGGTTGCCACAGCGGTTGCCTTCCAGCCACAACCCATCTCTGGGAAACATCCACACACACACTCATACACTATGGACAATTTAGTCTACACAATTCACCTGTACTGCATGTCTTTGGACTGTGGGGGAAACCGGAGCACCCGGAGGAAACCCACGCAAACTCAGGGAGAACATGCAAACTACACACAGGGAGAACCCTGGCAACGTTTTTTATTTTTATTTTTTTCAAAAGGCACCTAGCAACAACTTTAGCTATTTTTAATATTCACTTGGCTACTTTTAGCAATTTAAAAAAAAATGACTTAAAAGAGCAGTGCCTGCAGGCTTCACTCAGTAGAGTAAATTGCTTGCTTCGTTGTTTTTCATAACTTTTAATTTACTGGTATTTGTTAACATGTATAATTGTTGGTAATTTAAGTAGCAATAAAATCCAATAGTGCTATAACTGTTATCACTTTTACAAATGTGTTAAATTCACAAATTAAAAAAAGGAAGTAGTCAAGCTGTAATTGTTGAAAAGAATGTATCTGTTCATTATCAGTGTTATATTTAAAAATAAAAAACTCTTATCAAACTTGTTTGTATTACTTTTACAAATAGGCAACTATATTTTTCATACAAATCTAAATGGACATATTTCAAATAATGTTTTTGCAGGGATGGCCAGTCAATTTGAGAAAACATTAATTATTCGTCACACTTTACAATAAGGTTCATTAGTTAATGTTAAGTAATGCATTTACTAACATGAACAAGCACTGAACAATACATTTACTACAATAATTATTCATGTTAGTAAACATTAGTTAATGAAAATACAGTTGTTCATTGTTAGTTCATGTTAACTCATGGTGCATTAACTAATGTTAACAAGCATGGACTTGAATGTTAAAAATGCATTAATAAATGTTCAAATATGATTAATAAATGCTGTACAAGTGTTGTTCATGTTTAGTTCATGTTAGTAAATGCATTAACTAATGAACCTTATTGTAAAGTGTTACCTAATTATTTTGTATTCTACGTGAAGATGTAGTCATCACGCAAAGTAATATGTCATTATGAACCTATTTATTGAGCATCTGGATGTAATGTTTTAATATAATCTAATACACGCTGCCTCAGAGTAGAGACATGATGGGCTTCCTCTAGTCAGATACTATGTAGCAACATTTAGCTACTCTTCGGGCAGACTAGCTACTTTTCATTGAAAATAGTTGGCAACACTGGTTAGGGAAAAAAAACAGCCATTATTTACAGTTAAAGTCAGAATTATTAAACCCCCTAGATTATTAGCCACCCTGTTTATTTTTTCCCCAATTTCTAATGCAGAGAAGTTTTCTTCAACACATTTCTAAACATAATAGTTTTAATAACTTATTTCTAATAACTGGTTTAGTTTATCTTTGCCAGGATGACAGTAAATAATATTACTAGATCATTTTCAAGATACTAGTATTCAGCTTAAAGTGACATTTAAAGGCTTAACTAGGTTATTTAGGTTAACTAGGCAGGTTTGGGTAATTAGGCAAGTCGTTGTATAATAATGTTTTGTTCTGTAGACTATTGGAAAAAAAATATAGCTTAAAGGGGTTAATAATTTTGACCTTAAAATGATTTTTAAAAAATAAAAAAATGCTTTTATTCTAGCCTAAATAAAACCAATAAGACTTTTTCCAGAAGAAAAAAATATTATTAGACATACTGTGAAAATGTCATTGCTCTGTTAAATATCATTTGGGAGAAAAAAAAATTCAAAGGGGGGCTAATAATTTTGTCTTCAACTGAATATAAACAAAAGTTTAGAACCAGTAAGAGTGTGAGTAAATTTTAATTTTTTTGGTGAACTATCTTTTTAAAATGTCCTATATAAATGATAATACGTACTTGAAATGGCGCTGCTTTGAGCGTTGTTCGGCTCTGAATCAGAAGACACTGCTGGTGGAGGTGAGTTCACATTTTCCCACTGGATTTCCACAGTCTCTGGTTCCTGTTTCACCACACTGCAGCTGCTCACAGGAACCTCCTTGCTCTCCTCAGCCTCACTGCCGGGGGAATATGGAGCAAAATTCTGCAGCCATTCAGGGTTCACATCCAGCTCAGAGCTACAGGAGGACAATATAACACCACAATCATATAATAATTACTCGTTTATATATTACCTTAATATTTTATTTTAGAGCAGCATTCTTAAACCATCACTGTGTACCTTCTTAATAGTGATATTCTTGTGATTTATACATGTATTATTAGAAAAAGAGAAAAACTCAGTTAGTTTAATTAATTTTTTTAAGTAATCAAAATTTTCATCTGTATAATAATCTGATAATATTCTGATTATTATAGGCATTTTTTTAAATCTCAAATTCTTGAAAGCAGGACATTTTAAATCAACAACTACTTCATTTATCTGTGATGTGTGATGTGGACTTTTACATTTTATACATTTTTTATAACTTTAATTAAAGTTATCATTACAATTATTGTGACTTCTTGGAGTTAAAGCATATTTATAAAGGGATAAAACATTTTAATACTTGGAAGCAGGGCCTAAATGATGCTCTCTACGCACCAAATGTATATAAAAAATATTGTTGCTGAATTGCAAGAAATTACAAGCAGTTATTCTAACAACCCCCAATAATGTATTATGTTTTAAATTCTACAGTTATTTAACAATATTAATGCGTTTTCTTAATTTGTTGTGTTTTTTTAAATGATATAAACTATGATTTTATATTAATGAGAAGTATATTTTCTCAATTCGTAAGAAATGTTACAAAATAATGTTCACTGCCATTCTCAGATTTGCAAATAATGCAAGGAATATACCAGGAATGCAGTGATAGATTGTGAATCCTCATCCTGTGACTTCTCTTGTAATGTCTCCATTTCTGCCTCAACTCATCCTGTTTCGCTTTAGAGAGTTCGGTGACTGAAGAAAGTTTTGTCTTTCCTTCCCTCTTCCTTCGCTGATAGCTGAAAGCGTTAAACAATAAGAAAGTGTTTTAAGATGTCATATTAAATTTTATAGTTTCATATTTAAATACTTTATAGTCAATTCTTGCCACAGCAGAATGAACCACCTCATACTTCATTAATAAATTACTATTGTTTATGGTAATTTAATAATTATAAAAAATACAATGAATAGATGAATGAATACAACATATTTTGTTAACTTTTTTGATATTTTAAAAATACTATTATAATTTTTTTAATAGTTCAAGAATAATTACTTTAATAAATTATACAATCATAAAATAAAAAGCATATAAATATCAGAAAATTTGAAATTTAATGTTGCATTCAGTCAGCTTGTGTTCTGACATTTTTTAAAGTAAGCAGTTAACGTTGATTCCTTTTTTTACGTATAGTTTTATCTGAAATAAAATAATAATAAAAATATCATCACCTCTCTCTTCTTTTTGCAAGGTATCTGGCTCTCGCAACAGGATCAGCATTCACCTTTGCTCTGTGACGAGCTGATTTCTCGTTGTTTGAAAAAGGCATCTATAAATAACAATACAAATCAGCTGTCATAATGATTTTAAGACAGTTAAATACAACTATAACTCAAATTAGACACAGAACTGCTGCTAAAACATTTAAAAGTAGGATTAAGTAACCATAATAATGCAGTGAATTAAGCTGAGCTCACATCTGGTAAATGTATCTGTTCATTACGCATTTAAAGAGATAATGGCTGAGCGATGATACCGTAAAACAGCATAATTTTAGGAATTCAAATCACAATTTCAGCCTCCTGAAAACACCATAGTATGTTTTCTGGATACTGAGGCTTTTTTTTTTTAAGGAATGCAAATATACTACCACAATCAGTAGATCGATATAAGAGAGATACAAAGGAGAAAAAATACAAACTACATTAGCTGCAAAAAGAAAAAAAGACTAACAAACAAAGGAAGGGGTGAGTAAATTACAATTGTATAAGTGTTTTAGGTCCTGAGGTAAGACGTCAAAAGGAGTAACTGGTTACACCACTTGACATTTCTGTTTCCATGTTATAAACATAGCTATCAATTGCATTTATGACTGTTCAAAGATCACCAAAAGACATTTCCATGGGTATGGTTCAGTCAAACCTTTCCATATCATATTAACATGAAATTACAATAGCTCTTTAGAAAGATATACTAACCTTGACACGAATCCGTGTGTGAATGTGTGAAATGTCACCATTTCCTCCTTCACGGTCACATGACAGCAGACCGGTCCGCGGTTACACCAGGGGTGGGGGAGGGGCTCTGGTTAGGTTACACCACACAGCTTACTTGTTTCCAAAGATATGAATGAGTAGTAATGGAAAAACAGTTTTTTATTTTGAGCCTTTGATTAAATGTTTTGACATATTCCCATTAATTTCTTATAAATCAAGAACAGTTGCACCACACAGACATGTTTTAAAAAAAATACAACTTGTGAATTAAGAATTATTTTTTTGAGTTGTTTTACCTTTATTTCTAATTATTTTTAACTATAAGCATTGAATTTACTTTTAATCATCTGTCAGACAACTGCCAAAAGTGTTGGCAGCAAACAAAAAGAAACGTAAAAAGCCCTCATTCTATGATTGTCTGGGTTTATTTGTCAAATTTTTTAGTTCCAAAATGTAGGTTCTGACTGGTGCGATGGATATTGAATAATAATATTAATATATATATATTTTTAAAAGAACAGTAATATCTTCCTACAACTGTAATGAAACACTTTGGAACATGTGTTGGGAAATAAATATGGCTGGCACAAAGAAGCAGTTATTTACAGTCAAATTAGTATCATCCACTCTACAAACTTCTAATTAATTCTTATTAAGGCAGCATTTTTATGTGTCCGGTCATGAAACAAATGAAAATATTAGTCAAAGACAACGTAAGTAAACGAAATGCAATCAAGCAGTTTTGAAATGGTTTTTATTAGTAGGGGACAACAAAATATAAAATACCCACTTTGTGGAAAAAGTGTTTGCCCCTAAAACTAGTAACTCATTGGGTCTTCCTTAAAACCAACAAAGGCAATCAAGTGTTTTCAATAACTTGCAATGAGTTTGTTACAGCACTGTGGAGGAATACTGATCCACTCATCTTTGCCGATTTGTTGCAATTCATCCACATTGGAGAGTTTTCAGGCATGAACCTCTACTTTTAAGGCGATGCCGCAGTATCTCAATTTGATTTAGTTCAGTACTTTGACTAGGCCACTCCAAAGTCTTCATTTTGTTTTTCTTCAGCCATTAAGAAATGGACTTGCTGGTGTGCATTGGATCACTGTCCTGCACTAGAACCCAAGTTCGATTCAGCTTGAGGTCACTAACAGACGGCCGGATATTCTCCTTCAGGATATTTTGGTACAGAGCAGAAATCATGGTCCCATTTATCACTGCAAGTCTTCCAGGTCCTGAAGAGCAAAGCAGCCCCAGACCATCACACTACCACCACAATATTTTACTGTTGGTATGTTCTTTTTCTGAAATGCCACACTTTATAGGACACATCCCTACCAAAAAGTTCTGTCTCATCAGTCCATAGTAATTTCCCAAAAGTCTTCAGAATCATCAAGGTGTTTTCTTGCAAAACTGAGACGAGCTTTTATGTTATTTTTGCTCAGCAGTGGTTTTGGTCTAGAAACTCTACCATGCAAACCATTTTTGCCCAGTCTCTTTCTTATGGTGGAGTCATGAACACTTTGCTTAACTGAGGCAAGTGAGGTCTGCAGTTCCTTGGATGTTGTTGTGGAGTCTTTTGTAACCTCTTGAAAGGGTTGTTTAGCCGGTTTATGCCGGTTTAGCAAACGCCATGTGATTTACAGCAATAAATGTGTTGCTTTTGTATTCTCTTTTACGCTTGCTACACAAATCCTCCCGCAGCAGCCTAATAGGATATTTAAGTGTCCAAAAAATGCAGACATTAAAATCTCAATGAAGTTAGTTTGCAATTAGGGTGGTATGTGTATTCTCTTTAATGAATACTCCAAATAAAGAATTGTTTTCACCAACCATACATTTTTAAATACACATAGGCTAGACCAGGATTGTTGTTACAGTTGAGTGCACTCAAAACATTTTTTTGCAGCTTGTTAAAACTACTAATATAAAATGTGTTGAAATAAGATTCTTGAGATTTCTTGGGACAACTCAATTGTTTTATATTCAATCCACTTAAATGTGTTATGTTCACAAAATCAATTTATGCTGGGACTACATGAATTGTGTAAAACCCTGCTTTTTTTTTTACAGTGTATTCTGATAGTCTAAACAAATAACATGTTTTAGGCTCCAGACAGCCGTTGTTGTGAAATTGAAAGGCTAAAATGCCGTCGCAAGCTCTGCAGGACAGTAGACTCAATGGGCCAGAAGTTAAAGGGATCACCCGATAACTTCCATAGTATTTGTTTTTCCTTCTATGGATGTCAATGGCTGCCAGTTTTCTTCAATTAACCTTATTTTGTTTTCAAAAGATAAAAAAAAGAAATTCATAAAGGTCTGAAACCAATTGAGGGTTTGTAATAGCGAGTAAACTTTCACTTTTGGCTAAATTATCCGTTTAAAAAGGCTAAATGGAACATATTATTGTTATGTTATTGTGTAATAAAGAAATTCAGACTGATTCAAACAATCCACGCATACACGTGTAATCAGGGCTTTATGATTGAATTGGATGATGTTTCACACTGCTGCTGTACGCAAAAATATGCACAAGATCAGCGCGTTTACACAAACCTCTAAAACCTCAAACAGACTCGCACATAAAGACTCATTTAATAAATAAAAGAGTAAGAGATTAATCATGTAGAAAGAGGTTTCAACACCATTGCTTACTTTTGTTTACCTCTGGGGCTCAGCAGCGCAATGGTACCAATGGCTCCCTCTAGTGTCAAACATGAACATCAGTCTTGTGCGTTCAGAACTCAAGAGGTGGTAAGAAACAGTTCTCCTGATGCATCCATCTTCTCTGTCCTTCCTGAACCATCTGCTCAGTCCTTCTTGAAAAGGATTCAATTTATAAGTCAATCCGGAAGACTTGTTCAGAACGCTTAGTCTTAAAACAATATTTGAAATCTGTACATAAGGACATGCAAGTACAGGGGTAGGACATTGAAACTGAAACAATGGTTAATTTAGTGTTGGAGGTTTCATGGCTTAATCAAACTAGCCTGGTGGCCAATATTCATTGATTGCACATTCCACCAGTAAGGTGAAGGTTTAAATGGTAGAAGAATAAGACAGTTTTGCTTACAATTTTGCAATGCACACAACACTAGGTGACTCAAAAGAGAACAAATTAATGGTGTACAGCCTGCTAGTACATCTCTGATCAAGACAGCAAGTCTTTGTGATGTATTAAGAGCCATGGTATTCAAAGTATTGTCAGTATACCCCAAAGAAAAACCATTACGTCCAACTGGACTAGCTGTGGAAGCAATAGGAAGCTGTCTGAAAGGGATGTCCAGGTGCTATTGGATTGGTATCCTGTTTGGGAGATCCGCATGGTTTAGCTGCTATAGTCAAACGTTTAGTCACACATGCCAATGCCAAACATCGGTTTCAATGGTTCCAGCAGCAAAAATATTGGGCTGTGGACAATGTGAAACAAGTATTGTTCTTTCATGAGTCCACCTTTACTGTCTTTTTATATCCATATCTGGTAGAGTTTAGATGTGGACACGACATGCCCCAAAGAAGCGTACCACCCGGACTGTTGCATGCCCAGTGTGAAGCATGTGGATCAGTGATGGTTTGGGCTGCAATATGATGGCATTCCCTAGGTTAATACTTGCTACATAGGCGCATCACTGCCAAGGACTACCAAACTATTCTGGAGGACCGAGTGGTTCAAACATTATACCCCAAAGGTGGAGCTATGTAACAGGATCATCACCAATACACACAGCAAGACTGGTGACAAAGTGGTTTGAAAGTGAAGTCCTGCACAATCACCAGATTTAAATATTATTGAGCCACTTTGTGGTGTTTTGGAGAAGCTTAAGAGTTACTTGGCCACTATTATTGTCCACACAAGAAAAATAGTTCAAAAACCCTTCTGACCACAGGGCAGAACGTGTATCTGTCATTACCAAGACCAATTGATTCTGTACTGGCCGCAAAAGGAGGATCTACACCATACTAATGAATTACTGTGGTCTACAACCAGGCGGATTCAGTTTTATTGTCCAACCCCTGTAAAGTTACATTTGATAAACGGTTATAACTTAATAACTTGAGTATTTAAACAAAAAATGATCTGACTCACATGAACTCATACTGTAAATCCCCTAGAATGAGGCTCAGAATGATTGAATCTTTTCCGGACTGTAAATATTGATCATCTGAACAGCTCAACAGACGGAACACACTGCTTGACATGTGTTTCCTCACAAGGCCTGATCAGACCCTGATACATGTTCGGGACACAGGCAGTGAGGGTCAAACAGAAGCACTGGATGACCCAAAAAACTCTTTCACAGTGCAGCCTACTGTACTTATTGGCACATGGAGGTCTGCTTGTAAAAACTGTCCTGGGCCCTGTTAACCTTATAGCAGGAAACCCTACTCATGCTCTTCTTCTTTTTCTTGATGAAGGCGAATCAAGACCTAGTCACACTGGGGAACGTATCCTGTTGGAAGGAGATTAAAATACAGCTCAAATCTATTAGAATTTAGACCTTTGTTTTTAAACGTTCAATTTTGCATGTGGTTATTGTTAAAAAAGCATCTTCCGCAAATGAATCCCTTGTGAAAAAGACTGATAATTGTATTAAATGTGTAGTTATTTACATTGTGAGAGAACTCAGAAAACATAAATATAATTAAAACATCACACTTTTACGATTCTTCTTGCATATAATAATCTCAAAAAGAGACACGTAAAATACATTTTAAATGGTTTAATTTTTTTGTCATGCTTCAAATTAACATAACGTATGTAATTTTGTTTACCTTAAATGCTTGTAAGTACATTAAACACTCAAACCATATTTCAAGTAGGTTTGAGCAATGTTGACCAATTCGGCATCGTACGATGTGTCCAATGTAAAACATTGCGATGGACGATGGCATTATCATCGTAAGTGGATGGTGGAATAATTATTTAAAAATAAATAATTAATTCATAACTAATTAATTATTTGTAGCATAATGTTTCAACTACCAGACCTGCAAGGTCTTTGTTTTACCCATAACCAAATCATAAATAAATAAAGATAAGTTACACACAAGTTACAACCTGTCAATCACTTTTTTTCACGGGACTCTGACATGAATAGGCAGAGTGATCTGTGTCATTACAACAGCGTCAACAAACTTGGTTGGTAAAAAAGGTGAACAACCAACAGCAACCATCCAACAGTATCTGAGGTTTTACTAAAACTACTAAGGGTGAAAGCGAAAGATTGAAGCAGTCTACTGATGCTGTGACATGTTATATAGACAGATTTACAGTAAAAGATAGTTAGATAGAGACAAGATTATTTAAATATCGCATTTAACAACTATAGTGAGACGCGATCCAGCGGTACAACCTCGATAAACTGCACTGCACTCTCACCCGCTGACTACCACTACCGAAGTATTAAACTAAAATATTTGTGTGCTGCTTCATCTTTTAACTTAACTTAAAATTTAGGCTAGAATCTTGTTCCTTACTGGTCTTTTAAAATATTTGCATTTTAATGTGAGTTCAACCATTGTTTGGTCACAGATTTGCACCATGATAGGCTAGCTGATTGGCTCTGTGTGTGTGTCACAGCTACAAAGGAGGACTGCAGTATCACTTACTGTGATTTGCCTTGGTATTAGCTTGGATTTTGGAGTTACTGCGAGTTTGAGACTCTTGTTTCTCTGAAACAGAATGAAATGGAACTTGTAGACAGAACAAATGTGACAAAGCCCATTTTAGACCTTCGCTTTTGACCAGACATGTAGTTACTGTACTTTGCCTTGTTTGGATGGCAGTATTATCTTTAATATATATTATTGAAGTATTCAATTTAAGGCTTTACTTTTTCACAAGGGATCTTGTACAGCAAAGGCAAATTTATGAACAATCTAGCCACTGAAAGAACATCCGTGCTACTTGTCAAGACGTGTACCTCTCTTCCTCTTCTTCTTATGGCGTCTCTTTTTCCTCATGCTGCTAGACTCTTCAGATGACGATGTGCTGCTGGATTCATCGGTGAAGCACTCATCGTTGATGTATGAGCTGGATGAGCTCTTTCGCCGTCTTTTACGTGACCTGGACTCAGAGATCAATGATGTACTTGCTGTAGGATTTCAGAAATGGAAAAAACAAGAGTATATGAACAGTTATAATTAGAAATGGAACATCCATCGCGTGACAGGACAATCCTAATATCGACTAGCATAACAAGTTATTTCTATGGTTAAGTTTATAAGATTTTAGTTATAAGATTTAAAATCTGTGACATTGATCTTTTACTCTTTGAACAAGTTGACCTTGGGTCTTTCCAAACCCAAGGTATACATAATCCTAGTTATATTTCTTATGGACAGGACACACCATAACATCGGCTAGCATTTGGACCAAAAAACTGCACACAACAAACCAAACCAATGCATTTTTGCATTTGTGGGGCCAGTAATTGTTTTGTTTTTTTTCTTTTAACAAAGGGAAACCAAAAGACAAACACTTGGTCACTTGTGCCATTGCCAAATGTCGCTTTCAATGGTGCCATCAGGAAAATCTTAGGTTGTGGATAATCTTAAAAACATGTATTGTTCTCTGGTCGTGGCCAACTGAGCCTGGTTTCTGTCAAGTTTTTTCCTTCACTTTTATCAAATGAAGTTTGTTCCTTGCCACTGTCACCACAGGCTTGCTTGGTTTTGGTATTGTGGAGCTGGGCATTGATGAATTTCCTCTTGAGTGTTCAGACTTTCAGCAGCGAAAACTAAACCACAATGAAATAAACTAAACTGAAAATAAACTCTGACAACTGGACTGACACAGTTTCAGTTAACTAGAACTTCTGTGTTAGGCTGCTTTGACACAATCTACATTGTAAAAGCGCTATAGAGATAAAGACGAATTGAATTAAACGAGTCCACCTTCACCGTCACTGGGAGAGTTACGGTGTGGAGAAGCCCCAAAGAAAACCTCCAAATCTTCAATCAGAAGATCAAATGCACACAAATCATAAACAAAGCAGCATTTAGTACCCCTATATCAGGCAATTGTCACTCACCACGGAGGGATTCGCTCTTGCAAATATGTGTGATAATGTTATTATCCACATTGTTTGTACATTTTTGAGAGATGTACAGAAATTACAGCCGGCCTCTTCTGAAAACCAATCTGAAAATATATACTTCCCTATTATACAATATGTGTAAAACAGGAAGTTGAGTAGTATATCCAAATTCACTGTATTAAATAAATACATGTTAAAATTCAAGAGACAAGGGAGTACAAGGCAGTACACCAAGGTGGACAACCAGTGCTAGTGAGGGTCTCTCAGCTGGTTAAGAACCAAATGACAGTGTTTGGGGAATCTGACTCTTTTTTTGTTTGTTTTTTTCTTCTTCTCTTTCTTCATGTGTCCTTCCCCCAGTCTCTTTTTATGTACTTGTTCAAAAAATAATTTCAGGTTATTTCTAACCCCCCAAAAAGTTATAATCTACAACTTTAAAATGACAATTATATATTATATATGACTAAGCAACTAAACAAAATGCAGTGTCTTAAAATTTATGTTTTTTTGTTGGAACACAGAAGTTTCAATCCAAAACGTCTCTATATAACTGTGCGTTCAAACTGAAGGCGGTGAGAGCGTCCAACGTCGCTCTGGCCGTCCTGGCGACAACGCTGTCTGCCTTCAGTTCTGGCGGCGAGTAGAGTCAGAATTCGCTTCATTGATCTCGTATTTAAAGGGGCCGTTGCAGCTTGTCAGTTACATTCCTGCATAAAACATGCTTTCCAGCATGAAAATGATGCGCACTTCTTATCAAATTCATTTAAGAATGAAAGATCAAGTTGCATGTGGTTTGGCTTTGCTCCACTTAATTATCCAATATGTCCTTAAGTCTGAAATATCCTGAAGCAGCAATACTGTGTTGTACTGTCGCATGAGATTAAAGCTTTTTTAAAGATAAATAGGCTATATATATAACACTAATGCATGTTCCTGTAAAAAACATTGTAAATAATTGAAAATCCGGCGACCGCAACGATTAAAACCTTAGGAACAACTGTGGTCGGAACCAAAGTTCACAGGTCTGTGTTCTCTGAACTCCTCTCAAGCGGTGGACTTCTTCATTCTGATTGCTTGCCGCCGAACCGCATCATAGCTCATTACCATAAAGTTAACTTGATTTAAACTTTCCTCTACGCCCACACCAGCGAAGACGCGATACGCTACTTCTCGCCACGCTGTTCCTCGCCGCTTATCGCCACCGGATCTCATTGAAAAGGAATGACTTCCGGCTACTTTGATGCTCTCGTCGCTTTCGGTGTGAACGTATGGTAAGACAGTTATGGTTGTCACGATACTGGAATTTGATACTAATTGATTCTAAACTTTAAAACCATCCATTTCCCAGGAACATTTGAGCGCTGTTGAGCACTTCTAAACACTTCTTATTTGTGAAAGTGTTCACGTGCTCAACGGAAATGACTGTGATTGGCCGTAAAGGCCATCGGTTTACTGAACTCACTGCTGTTTAATGAGTGTAACCATTAAACTCGTATGTCAGCTTATAGACAGCCCAGCTGATCGACGTGACTTTGAAATGCTGCAGTGTCCCTGTATCTGTGGTTACACTCAGTAAACAGCGGTGAGTTCAGTGAAGTGATGACCTTCACGGCCAATCACAGTCATTTCTGTTGAGCATGTGAACACAATGACAAACAGCAGGGTTTAAAAACTTGCTTAATAGCGCTCAAATGCTTGTGGGAAAGGGGCGTTTGTAAAATTTTAGTACTGATTGGTATCAAATTCCAGTATTGTGACAATCCTAAAAACAGTTTGTATGTTTTTGTACTAAAAACGTGTGTATTTTGGTTTCACCTTCAGGCACTGAAATAAGACGAGCACCAGTGAGGTTCTCTATTTGTGCGCGGAGGAACTTGCGATCCTCCATTAGGTCTTGCACTTGTCTTTCCAGAGCTTCGATCCTTTCCTGTTTGCTCTCCAGTAAGCACTGAAGTTTAGTGATGGTTAGCATAACACTGCTGGGTAGACCCTCCATCGAAGGCGTCTCTGCTAAGAAACAAAAAAGTCATTTATCCAAGTCCCATCATATCCAAAACTACTAAATTCATTAACTCAGATTCTTAAGAAATCAAATATACTGTACTGGAGACAGCACTGTTCACATTGTTGTCCTTCTCAACTTGAACGGCAGGCTCAAAGTTCCTGTCTTCCCACTGGATTGCATTAACCTCCGGCTCCTGTTTCACCCAACTGTTGCTGTTACTGTTCACAGGACTCTCCTGTTTGGCAGAACTGGAGTCGATCTCACTGGCAGGAGAGTATGGGGTGGGTTCCTGCAGTGAAGGCCACTGGGTGGTAATCTCAACTGGAACACTTAAAAAAAAAACCATCATCATCAGTTTTATTATTTTACATTATTTTACACTCACATTCACTGATATTTCATGCAAGATTAATAAAGTAATTGAGTTAGTCATTAAGAAGGTCTTTTAAGATGAGGACGTGCTTTCAAACTTCTTGTTTGGTGACAGGTTTAGTAGTATGGGTAGGTTTGAAGGTGTACAGGTTATATACAGTAATCTGAGAGTGAAAGTCAATAGCTTATAAGACCTCTTTGAAGACATATATTTTAAGACCTCATCGCCACTTTAGGTTTCAACTGGGAATATTGCCGACATTTTAACTTAAAGTTTATTTACTAAATGCTGATTGTAAAAAACATTATTCATACAGTATAATGAATTAATGTTTCAAACATTTATGAGTTTTCTTTTTTTAAATTAATACAAAATAGTAGAATTTTTATAACTCCTATAGTATTGATTTGAAACAAGTGAAGTGTGAGTAAAGAGCGAGTATATTATTTTCATTTTTTGTGGACTGTCCTTTTAAGGCCTGTGACTGAACGTTTCAATATTTCAAATTTTAAAACATCCAGCCACAAGAATTTTTTGTGACTTTAATAAAGATTAAATAATATACAAAGAAGACTATGCAGTGTTGATTATTCAATATCTGTACCTGAATAGTGAATACCTGAAAACCATAATTCACTTTTATCTTTACTATGTTTTATTTATCTATGCTTGTAATGTATTTGTTATATATTATTCGAGATTCACTTTTCAACAAAATCCCTCCAATCAACCCAAATAAACCTGTTAAATCATCTGGTGAAATTGTATTCACATCGCTATATACATCACAGAAATACAAAATAACGCAATGTCAGATTTTTTCAATATCGTGCAGCCCAAATTCAAGTATACAGATATATGTTCAATTAATTTCCATGACTTTTCCAAAACTTTGTGGGTTTTTCAGTTTTTCCAAAACTTTTTCAGGCCTGGAAAATGCCATGTCAAAATTCCATGATTTTTTCAGGTTTTCCATGACCGTATGAACCCTGACAGAAGAAAGTAAGCCGTTCAGGTATGGAATAAATTAAGGATAATTAAATAATGAAAAATATACATATTTAAGCAAACTTTCCTATTTATATAGTTATAACTAAGTAATAAATGTCTCCAAAATGAAAATTGTGTCATTGTTTACTGCATGACTGTATTATGTGGAATGCAAAAAGCTATTTTGAAGAATATTTTGATTGTTGCTTGAACAAATCTAGTTTTTGGCATTCAGAACGTATATGGATTGTGTTTCACAAAATACAAGATAAAAAGCAAGATGACAGTTTTCCTTTCTAGATGAATCATTCATTTGAATGTGAAATAAAAGAGTTGTTTAACATGATTTGGCTTTACAAACCCAGTGCAAAGTCCTCTGTTTACAAGCAAAGCCACTATTATTACCAGTACCTTTGTAAACAAACTGCCATGATCTCCCTCGGTTCGTTCAGTCTCTGAATCGCTGTTATCCTCAGACTGTGGTTAGTGTATATCGTTCTCGTGCCTGCCTCTTTGCATATTTTGGGCAGCATTTGGGACAAATGATTGACTCCCAGTGGGAGTCCAGTATACCAGATCTCATCACTGAGGAAATAGCTCCTTTTGGGCTGCAGATAGAGAGCTTTAGCGTCGGCTGGGATTTTCCTCAGGTATTTCTCCAGAGACGCAACAGGACACAGCGGATTCCCCGGCTCTTCAAACATAGCCTTCCGCTTCTTCTTATCCTTCTCCGGCATGTTCTTCGGTTCCTCGTGTAGTGCCATGGTGAAGTATTTAAATCCGTTTTGGTCCAGGTTCAGAGCAAATGTGTCTGGCTGCAGGTGTCGGTTGCCCTCCTTACCCCTGAGCCCAAAATGCAACTGGATGTCATACCACACCTTATACAACAAGCCCTTTGGGTTCCCAGGGTCCAGTGCAGTTGAATGTTTGAGGATGTGTTGGTCTTCAGGGGTAATTGGTGGGTAGTGTGTTGTTATATCCCTACCGGAGCGACGGATCTGCTTGACCACGCCTTTGAAAACATTGTTAGCAGACCTGAACTCAGCGTCCTGCATCAGATTCCACGCACGGTTGACCGGAGGGTCGTTAACGTACCGGTTGAGTCCAGCCCGGAGACCGACGTAGCTGCTGATCCCGTACAGCTCTCCTTTGCTGGTCCGAATAGATCCATAAAACTCGCGGAGGATTGTGTTTACCTCCGATTTATCGGCCGTTTTAAAGTCTATGGTCAGCTGCTTTTCCCGCAGCCAGGCTTTAAAACAGTTAACAGCCCATATGGTTTGCTTTACAGTACTAGACTCGTTCCGGGTGTGTTCCAATAAGTCCAAATCCGCTGATGATACGTTTGCACATCTGGATATCTGTGCTGTTAAAGCGGGGTCTCCTGCCTCCGTCTCTTCCTCCTCTTCACCTGAAGAGCTCTCACACTTTAAATCAAACATGCTGTTCATGGGAATAATGACCGGAGGAGGTGCTCTTTCTCCTTATTTCACGGATGCCAAATGATTATTTCCATGTCTGTAAAATCTGAAATGAACACTTATTATAAAGCGACTAGCTAACCTGTGCATATTGCTAGTAACGTTAATGTTCTCTTTCTTTGTTGTTCTTCTTCTTGGAGATGGTGGAGGATGGAGAGCCGCAGAAATATACCGCCACCTGCCGTTTACTGTGATAATAAGTAATCTTGTCCCAGGCTATGCTTTCAGCCGAGAGAATACAGGTGGTAAACATGTCTATGTACAATTTAATATACACATGTGATTTTAAATAAACGTTAAGCACATCAAATGCTACTGAAGTCCTGAGGCCTTGCAGTAAGAATTTTTTTCTCGAATATGATCAAAAACGCTCGTGCTTAATGTACATTCTTCATCATGTAAATGGTAGGCTATATCATTATTTACAATATACTATTCATTCAACTGTTGGCATTTTAAAGCTCTTTATGGCGCAAAATGCTGCATTTATAAATTATGAAGAATGATGAAGATGCTTTGCTTCCTTTCGGCAAGTTATTTACAACTTTGCGCCATATAGAGTTGCTTTAAAATGGCAAACGTTAAGGGAATATTGTTGTTAATAAAGATTTATAATCATATACATGAATATAATAATGAATCTACATTAATCATGAGCACGCGAGCGTTTTCGTTATGTCAAGATCAAAATTAAGTCGTGATCACGACATAACAACTTTTCGTTATGTCGAGATCACGAGATAATTAAGTCGTGATCACGAGATATCTAAGTCGTGATCACGACATAACAACTTTTGTTTTGTCGAGATCACGAGATATTTAAGTCGTGATCACGACATAACGAAAAGTTGTTATGTCGAGATCACGGGATAATTAAGTCGTGATCTCGACATAACAAAAGTTGTTATGTCGTGATCACGACTTATTTTTTTACTTTTTATTTATGTAGCCTGTTAATTATTATTATTATTATTATTATTATTATTATTATTATAGTTATTAATATAATTATTAATAGTATTATTATAAGTAGTAGTAGTAATTTTATAATTATTAATATTGTTGGTATTGTTATTATTACTACTATTTGGAAAATATCTGGCCTGTGGGTCTACACCGGCCCTGCGAACAGGGAGTGAATATGTGTGCAACACATTAAAGACGTTCAGAACAGCAATATAAAGATGGCTCAAGCACATTGTTAATGTTCATTCGTTATTAATTTGTATATCTTTATATATCATTATTTGCAATAATATTCCGGCAACTGTTACCATTTTAAAGCAACATATGGTGCAAAATGCTGCATAATAAATTATGAAGAAAGATGAAGATCCTGCTTATTTGCTTCCTTTCTGCAAGTTATTTACAATTACTTTAAAATTGCGCCATAAAGAGTTGCTTTAAAACTGCAAAAGTTAAGGAAATATTGTTGTAAATAAAGATATATAATATAATAATGAATGCAGGCTACAATAATCATGAGCACGCGAGCGATTTTGTTATGGCGAGATCAAGAGATAATTAAGTCGTGATCACGACATAACAACTTTTCGTTATGTCGAGATCACGAGATAATTAAGTCGTGATCACGATATAACAAAAAAGTTGTTATGTCGTGATCACGACTTATTTTTATTTTTTATTTTTTTTATTTTGTGCTTTTTATTTATGTAGCCTATTAATTATTATTATTATAGTTGTTAATAATATTATTAGTAGTAGTAGTAGTGGTAGTAGTAGTAATTTTATTAATATTAATGTTGTTGTTGTTGTTGTTGTTATTAATACTAATAACAGTAATAACAACAACAATGGCCAATATCTAGCCTGTGGGTCTGCACCAGCCCTGCGAACAGGGATTGAATAGCCATATGTGCAACACATTAAAGACATTCAGAACAGCCATAATAATATGAACGCAAACGCTCGAGCTCATTTGTTAATGTTAATTTGTTAATATTTTCATGTATATCTTTATATATCATTATTTACAATAATATTCCCTTAACTGTTACCAGTTTAAAGCAACTCTTCATGGCACAAAATGCTGTATATTAAAGAAAGATGAAGATCGTATTTGCTTCGTTCCTGCAAGTTAGTTACAAAAAGGCTACTTTAAAATTACGCCATAGAGTTGCTTTAAAATGGCAAAAGTTGAGAGAATATTGTTGTTAATAAAGATATATAATCATATACATGAATATAATAATGAATCTCATGAGCACGCGAGCGTTTTTGTTAAGGCGAGATCAAGAGAAAACTAAGTCGTTATCACGACATAACAACTTTTCGTTATGTCGAGATCACGAGATAATTAAGTCGTGATCTCGACATAACAGAAGTTGTTATGTCGTGATCACGACTTATTTTTTGCTTTTTATTTATGTAGCCTTTTAATTATTATTATTATTATTATTATTATTATTATTATTATTATTATTATTATAGTTATTAATATAATAATTAATAGCAGTATTATTATTATTAGTAGTTGTATTTTATAATTATTAATATTGTTGTTATTGTTATTATTACTACTATTTGGAAAATATCTGGCCTGTGGGTCTGCACCGGCCCTGCGAACAGGGAGTGAATATGTGTGCAACACATTAAAGACGTTCAGAACAGCAATATAAAGATGGCTCAAGCACATTGTTAATGTTCATTTATTATTCATTTCATGTATATCTTTATATATCATTATTTGCAATAATATTCTGGCAACTGTTACCATTTTAAAGCAAATGGTGCAAAATGCTGCATAATAAATATGAAGAAAGATGAAGATCCTGCTTATTTGCTTCCTTTCTGCAAGTTATTTACAATTACTTTAAAATTGCGCCATAAAGAGTTGCTTTAAAACTGCAAAAGTTAAGAAAAAATATTGTTGTAAATAAAGATATATAATATAATAATGAATGCAGGCTACAATAATCATGAGCACGCGAGCGATTTTGTTAAGGCGAGATCAAGAGATAATTAAGTCGTGATCACGACATAACAACTTTTCGTTATGTCGAGATCACGAGATATCTAAGTCGTGATCACGACATAACAACTTTTCGTTATGTCGAGATCACGAGATATTTAAGTCGTGATCACGACATAACAAAAAGTTGTTATGTCGTGATCACGACTTATTTTTATTTTTATTTTTTTGCTTTTTATTTATGTAGCCTATTAATTATTATTATTATAGTTGTTAATATTATTATTAGTAGTAGTAGTAGTGGTAGTAGTAGTAATTTTATTAATATTAATATTGTTGTTGTTGTTGTTGTTATTAATACTAATAACAGTAATAACAACAACAATGGCCAATATCTGGCCTGTGGGTCTGCACCAGCCCTGCATGCGAACAGGGAGTGAATAGCCATGTGTGCAACACATTAAAGACATTCAGAACAGCCATAATAATATGAACGCAAACGCTCGAGCTCATTTGTTAATGTTCATTTGTTAATATTTTTATGTATATATTTATATGTCATTATTTACAATAATATTCCCTCAACTGTTACCAGTTTAAAGCAACTCTTCATGGCACAAAATGCTGCATATTAAATTTTAAAGAAAGATGAAGATCGTATTTGCTTCCTTTCTGCAAGTTATTTACAAAAAGGCTACTTTAAAATTACGCCAGTTGCTTTAAAATGGCAAAAGTTGAGAGAATATTGTTGTAAATAAAGATATATAATCATATACATGAATATAATAATGAATCTCATGAGCACGCGAGCGTTTTTGTTAAGGCGAGATCAAGAGAAAACTAAGTCGTGATCACGACATAACAACTTTTCGTTATGTCGAGATCACGAGATATTTAAGTCGTGATCACGACATAACAAAAAGTTGTTATGTCGTGATCACGACTTATTTTTATTTTTATTTTTTTGCTTTTTATTTATGTAGCCTATTAATTATTATTATTATAGTTGTTAATATTATTATTAGTAGTAGTAGTAGTGGTAGTAGTAGTAATTTTATTAATATTAATATTGTTGTTGTTGTTGTTGTTATTAATACTAATAACAGTAATAACAACAACAATGGCCAATATCTGGCCTGTGGGTCTGCACCAGCCCTGCATGCGAACAGGGAGTGAATAGCCATGTGTGCAACACATTAAAGACATTCAGAACAGCCATAATAATATGAACGCAAACGCTCGAGCTCATTTGTTAATGTTCATTTGTTAATATTTTTATGTATATATTTATATGTCATTATTTACAATAATATTCCCTCAACTGTTACCAGTTTAAAGCAACTCTTCATGGCACAAAATGCTGCATATTAAATTTTAAAGAAAGATGAAGATCGTATTTGCTTCCTTTCTGCAAGTTATTTACAAAAAGGCTACTTTAAAATTACGCCAGTTGCTTTAAAATGGCAAAAGTTGAGAGAATATTGTTGTAAATAAAGATATATAATCATATACATGAATATAATAATGAATCTCATGAGCACGCGAGCGTTTTTGTTAAGGCGAGATCAAGAGAAAACTAAGTCGTGATCACGACATAACAACTTTTCGTTATGTCGAGATCACGAGATAATTAAGTCGTGATCACGACATAACAAAAAGTTGTTATGTCGTGATCACGACTTATTTTTATTTTTTTTATTTTGTGCTTTTTATTTATGTAGCCTATTAATTATTATTATTATAGTTGTTAATAATATTATTAGTAGTAGTAGTAGTGGTAGTAGTTGTAATTTTATTAATATTAATGTTGTTGTTGTTGTTGTTATTAATAGTAATAACAACAACAATGGCCAATATCTAGCCTGTGGGTCTGCACCAGCCCTGCGAACAGGGATTGAATAGCCATATGTGCAACACATTAAAGACATTCAGAACAGCCATAATAATATGAACGCAAACGCTCGAGCTCATTTGTTAATGTTAATTTGTTAATATTTTCATGTATATCTTTATATATCATTATTTACAATAATATTCCCTTAACTGTTACCAGTTTAAAGCAACTCTTCATGGCACAAAATGCTGTATATTAAAGAAAGATGAAGATCGTATTTGCTTCGTTCCTGCAAGTTAGTTACAAAAAGGCTACTTTAAAATTACGCCATAGAGTTGCTTTAAAATGGCAAAAGTTGAGAGAATATTGTTGTAAATAAAGATATATAATCATATACATGAATATAATAATGAATCTCATGAGCACGCGAGCGTTTTTGTTAAGGCGAGATCAAGAGAAAACTAAGTCGTTATCACGACATAACAACTTTTCGTTATGTCGAGATCACGAGATAATTAAGTCGTGATCTCGACATAACAAAAGTTGTTATGTCGTGATCACGACTTATTTTTTGCTTTTTATTTATGTAGCCTTTTTATTATTATTATTATTATTATTATTATTATTATTATTATTATAGTTATTAATATAATAATTAATAGCAGTATTATTATTAGTAGTAGTTGTATTTTATAATTATTAATATTGTTGTTATTGTTATTATTACTACTATTTGGAAAATATCTGGCCTGTGGGTCTGCACCGGCCCTGCGAACAGGGAGTGAATATGTGTGCAACACATTAAAGACGTTCAGAACAGCAATATAAAGATGGCTCAAGCACATTGTTAATGTTCATTTATTATTAATTTCATGTATATCTTTATATATCATTATTTGCAATAATATTCCGGCAACTGTTACCATTTTAAAGCAACATATGGTGCAAAATGCTGCATAATAAATTATGAAGAAAGATGAAGATCCTGCTTATTTGCTTCCTTTCTGCAAGTTATTTACAATTACTTTAAAATGGCGCCATAAAGAGTTGCTTTAAAACTGCAAAAGTTAAGGAAATATTGTTGTAAATAAAGATATATAATATAATAATGAATGCAGGCTACAATAATCATGAGCACGCGAGCGATTTTGTTATGGCGAGATCAAGAGATAATTAAGTCGTGATCACGACATAACAACTTTTCGTTATGTCGAGATCACGAGATATCTAAGTCGTGATCACGACATAACAAAAAGTTGTTATGTCGTGATCACGACTTATTTTTTTATTTTTTTTTATTTTTGCTTTTTATTTATGTAGCCTATTAATTATTATTATTATAGTTGTTAATATTATTATTATTAGTAGTAGTAGTGGTAGTAGTAGTAATTTTATTAATATTAATTGTTGTTGTTGTTGTTGTTGTTGTTAATACTAATAACAGTAATAACAACAACAATGGCCAATATCTGGCCTGTGGGTCTGCACCAGCCCTGCATGCGAACAGGGAGTGAATAGCCATGTGTGCAACACATTAAAGACATTCAGAACAGCCATAATAATATGAACGCAAACGCTCGAGCTCATTTGTTAATGTTCATTTGTTAATATTTTTATGTATATCTTTATATATCATTATTTACAATAATGTTCCCTCAACTGTTACCAGTTTAAAGCAACTCTTCATGGCACAAAATGCTGCATATTAAATTTTAAAGAAAGATGAAGATCGTATTTGCTTCCTTTCTGCATGTTATTTACGAAAAGGCTACTTTAAAATTGCACCATGAGTTGCTTTAAAATGGCAAAAGTTGAGAGAATATTGTTGTAAAAAAAGATATATAATCATATACATAAATATAGTAAAGAATCTACATTAATCATGAGCACGCGAGCGTTTTTGTTAAGGCGAGATTAAGAGAAAACTAAGTCGTGATCACGACATAACAAAAGTTGTTATGTCGTGATCACGACTTTTTTTTGCTTTTTATGTATGTAGCCTATTAATTATTATTATTATATTATTATTATAGTTATACTACTAATAATAATTATTATTTTAGTACTTTTATTAATATTAATATTGTTGTTATTGTTATTATTACTACTATTTGGAAAATATCAGGCCTGTGGGTCTGCACCGGCCCTGCGAAAATTGAGAGAATAGCCATGTGTGCAACACATTAAAGGCTTTCAGAACAGCCATAATAATATGATCGCAAACACTCCAGCTCATTGTTAATGTTCATTTATTAATATATTCAAGTATATGTTTATATAGCCTATCATTATTTACAATATATAATTCCCTCAGCTGTTACCATTTTAAAGCAACTCTATATGGCGCAAAATGTTGCATACAAAAATTCATAAAGAATCATGAAAATCCTTTGCTTTCTTTCTGCAAGTTATTTACAATTACTGTAAAATTGCGCCATATAGTATTTGGTCACAAATTGTCTTTTCACCGTGGAGGAGATTCGCTACAGATCGAACCTGCACAACTGCCACAGATATTCTTTATCTTTATTTTTCTCCATCTATCTTCCTCTCCAGGGACATGTAAATACAAAACAATAAATAAATAAATAAATAAATAAATAAATAAATAAATAAATAAATAAATAAATAAATGCAAATGGGGCTTCTCCTACTTACTATTGACTGTGAAGTTGCAATATCCTCATCTGCGACCATCCAGAGTTTGCAATAGTATCTGGATGCAGCCTTAATGATACAAGCTGAGATTGCATCACTCAGCCATGCAATGTCACACAGAATGCACTCAATGGAGTGAGTGACGTCACGGTGATGGGTAGGGTTAGGGGTGGGATTAGATGAGTGAATTAAAATGCATTGGATGCAGCTCAGTTTGCACTGCACCAGCTCTGCATCCAGGCCCCTCTCAGAGTTTGTCAGTAAACACAAGTCTAATACTAACCCTGTCTGTGATTTTCTGACATTAAAAATTGCAATATATGAATATTTCCTAATAATTAAAAGAACAACAACAGAACTACAGATTGCATGACGTTTTACTTTGAAATCAATGTAATTTTAGGCTATATGATGTGCAGTGTTCTGTTGCGTACTCAAATCAGGTGAACATATTGAATAATACTGCATGTTTTAAGGCAATCAATAATAGCTCTATATTCTGTTTTGTGTGAACTATCATTTTAGTTATGATCTTAAACTTTGAAGTCAATACAGTCACATGGACTCATAAAATCAGACACGCCTGTTTTGACAGGTCTGACAGATGCAGAACCAGGAAATACTTTATCTTTCTGGTAAATTGAAACTGAAGAGCTGTTGAGATTAACGTGTCTGTCTTTCTTTTGGATCTTGTGTTATAATGGCAGAATCAAGTGTCTCATGGGATCAGGAGTTCAGCTGTTCAATCTGTCTGGATCTGAAGGATCCAGTCACCCTTTCCTGTGGACACAGGTTCTGTATGAGCTGCATTACAGACTGCTGGAATCTGGAGGATCAGAAGAGAGTTTACCGCTGTCCTCAGTGCAGACGGACATTCACTCCAAGACCTGCTTTAAATAACAATGTGATACTTGCTGAAATGCTGGAGGAACTGAAAACAACAAGACTCCAAACTGCAGATTGTTATGCTGGATCTGGAGATGCGGAGTGTGACGTCTGTACTGGAAGAAAACTCAAAGCTGTCAAGTCCTGTCTAGTGTGTCTGAACTCTTACTGTCAACATCACCTGCAACAACATCAGAATTTATACAGCAGCAAGAAACACAAACTGACTGACGCCACTGGACGACTACAAGAGATGATCTGCACAAAACATGAAGAACCGCTGAAAGTCTACTGCAGGACTGACCAGCAGTGTGTGTGTTATCTGTGTGTGATGGATGAACACAAAAACCATGAGACTGTGACGGCTGCAGCTGAGAGGACAGAGAAACAGGTATGAGTTAACACAGATTAAATACAAGATTAAAGCTGCCCTATGAAGAATATTTGGGTTTACCTAGGCATAGTTGAATAATAGGAGTCCAGTACATGCAAATGTCTATACCGTGAGCCTGTTTTTTGCTTTCATGTAAATTAGCAGAGTGTGTGATGGTTTAAGTTATAGCTGGGTTTTGCTGGTGGTGACCTGGTTTTAGCTGGTTATTTGGTGGTCAGGAAGAAGAAATAAAGCAGCCTAACCAGCATCCATGTGTCAAAATCTGCCTAAAAGCTGAAAACCTGTAACCGCTGACTTTAAATACTATGGAAGTCAATGGTTACTTGTTTCCAACATTCCTTCAATTGTCTTCTTTTGTGTGCAACAGAAGTAAGTTAAGGAAGTAAAAGGTGTGTGGGATATTATGAGAGGACAATTTGAGACACCAGATCCACCGCAAAAGCACTGAAGGCTGCTTTTAAAGCAATCTGGGCTTCACAACACCCCAGCAGTGCCACAGACTGCGTCCGAAATTGCCTACTACACTGAAAAAAAGTGTTGCATGCAGAACTGTTGCAAACAATTTATTTGTGTTGAATTTAAACAAATTAAGTTTAATAATGTTCAACTTAGTTTGTTTGTTTAAATTCAATACAAACAAATTGTTTACAACCACTTAACATAAAAAATGAGTAAATCCAAGGAATCTTCTCTGAATACTTTCTTTCAGTGTACTTAGTATTTACTGCATTTGAATTTACTACTCAGCCATTAGAAAAGCACATTCTATACAGTATGAATGTGAGCAGTATGAATGGAACTCGAACATACGACATCCGCCATTTTGTCATGATCACATGACCCACGTCAGTTGTGTCGCTTCACTCCTATTCATGAATTCTCTCGCGGTGCATCATTGAAATCACTTCAGAATCTCGCCAGAATTGGTAGCCCACATAGCAAAATTTCTCTGGCCTAGATCTGGCCCATACAATCAGCATTTGCATGGCCCACATGCAGCAGTGAATTACGTACATGAATCTGGCTTCCATACAAGGACCAAACGTAGACCATATCTGGGGGCCAAGATGAAGATAACTGGAGTGAAAAACTTAGATTATTTACAATGCTTCCGTAATCATCTAATAAAGCAGATTACAGAGCTAATAAGGAGCCAGCCGTGTTGATCATAAGCACGTGATCCTCTTGAAATTACACTACAATACCCACTAAAAATGGGGGTGAATATAAGCCAAACTTACATGGCCCACATATAAATTTTAAACATCTGGTCCAAATACTACATTTGATATCTGGCCCAAGTCTTGTGTGCTGCCTTAAAGATGATCTACCAAACCCAGGTCATATTTGGCCTACATGCTGTATGCCAGTCCTGGATGAACACCTGCTGTGCCAGCTTTATGCAGAATCTGGGCCAGAATTCTTCAAGTGGTGCTCGCTGCAGAGCCATTTGAGGAGAGGTGAGCTCCAGAGAGGGGGAGCTTAAGCTTGAGCTCCACCTTTTTTGCACTTCTTCTACGAGTGATGTCACTGGGGGTAGGGTTAGGGGTGGGGTTGGTGTACGCATTAAAACAGCTTACAGGAGGAGGAGCGACAGCTCATGCTCCCCCTCTCTGGAGCTCACCTCTCCTCAGATGGCTCTGCAGCGAGCACCCTCTCCAATTCTTAGCCACCTGGAAGGTCATCCGGCTATTTTTCACATATTGTTTAGCTCACTTAGTGTTTTTAGCGTAATATATAGTAAGAAAGTATGCAATTTCGGACGCAGCAATCGTCTCCATGCCACGTCACATTGCTGAAGAAATAGACATTAAGTCCTACACATGTTCATATTTTTCAGAAGTCCAGCATTTCTGTGTTAGCCTTTTTTATATTGGTCAAGTTGGCTTATATTCAAATTTTCGGAGATTACGAATTTTGGGTTTTCATTAGCTGTAAGCCATATTCATCAAAATTATTAAATATCTCTCTGTGTGTAATAAATCTACATCATTTATAAGATTAAGGGTTGCCAAGCTTGAATCAGGAGGGTCAAAGTCCTGCAGAGTTTGGCTCCAACCCTAATTAAACATACCTGATCCGGCTAATCTAGCTCTTATTAGGAATACTAGAAACTTCTTAAGGTGTGTTGAAAGCTGAAGCTAAACTCTGCAGGACAACAATCCTCCAGGACCAAGTTTGAGTTTCCTTGTTCTAATTCATCGAGATCACCTGTAATTGCGTGTAATCTAAAATGCATGGATGTCTGAGAGCATAGTGGAAATAGAAAATTAATAAAGGAAATGGAAGGCAGGTTTGGTGCGATTGGAGTTACATTCAGAATCCTCCTGATAAGCCATATTGTAGGAGTTAGTTAAACTGCAACACCAGAAATGACAAAGCTATTTTTGGGCATAATGTCTGCTTTTACCGAATTTTGTAGAAGTACATGAAATTCAGCCTCGGTTAGTTTTTGTAGTTTAGCACTGTTGACCTAACAAATGAAATATTTAATATTTCTGTTAACATATAATTTTACTGAAATGTGTGGTTACAGAGGATTCTGAAAGAGACACAAAGACAATATCAAGATAGAATCCAGGAGCAAGAGAAGAAGCTTCAGGATCTGAGACAGGCTGTGGACTCTCATAAGGTGAGTTTGAGATGAAGAACATCAGCTGACAGACAGAGGAAGAGTTTGAGACTCATGTTGAGTGTGTGAGCAGCAGTAAGAGCTGACTGTGATGTGTTTAACAGCGCTCTGCACAGGCAGCAGTGGAGGACACTGAGAGCATCTTTACTCAACTCATCCACTCCATTGAGAGACGCCGCTCTGAGATCACACAGCTGATCAGAGATCAGGAAAAGACTGCAGTGAGTCAAGCTGAAGATCTCATGAAGAAACTGGAGAAGGAGATTGATGATCTGAAAAGGAGAAACACTATGCTGGAGCAGTTTTCAAACACACTTGATCACATACAGTTCCTGCAGGTAACAGATCATTTACATCTATAAGATTATAGCAAACACAAACATGGCATTTGTGGATGTTACTACCTATTGCGGTACTTGACAAAGATTTATAGTCCTGAGCCCATGTGATAATATGGCTTATAGATGATGATTCTTGATGCAGTGCCGCCTGAGGGATCTGAGATCATGGTTGTTCAGCTTAAGCTTGCACACTTGTCCTTTATGCACTGAAATACTCCAGATTCTATGAATCTTTTAATTATGTTCTGCACTGTTGAAGGTAAAATATACAAATGTCTTCCTATCTTTCTCTGAGGAACTTTGTTTTTAAACATTTTAATAATTTTCTCACGTATCTGTTGGCAAACTGGTGATCCTCGGCCCATCTTTGCTCCTAAAGAACTAGACCTTTCTTTGAGGCTGCTTTTGTAACAAATCATAATTAAAATCAGCTGTTGACATCACCTGTTTCAAATCACGTGATTAATTAACCAATTTACCTGATTACTAGCCCTAAACTGTTTTGGAACGTGTTGCGGTGTCCACTATAGTTGACATTTAACAAAGGATGATATTTTAAAACACAAACAAGTTATCAGCTCTGAAAGCTAAATGTATTGTTCCTGACACTTTAATAAACAAATATATATGTTATAATAATAGTAAAAGACATTTTAAAAGCAACATTTTACATACCTCTCTCCTTAAAATGTGCTTTTTTGTATGTCGGCCATTTTGGATGCAGTATAAGACGTGGTTCCTAGCATGCCAGCCAATCAAATGACATATCACTAGAAAGCCCAGGATGCCCACTGAACAGTACAATAGGACTTGAGTAGCTAAAAAAAAGAAAGAAAGAAAATTCATGAAAACACAGGTCCACTACAAACGACACAAGTCAAAGTTTTCATTTAATTACAATATGTCAATAACTCAATTATATATATATATATATATATATATATATATATATATATATATATATATATATATATATATATATATATATATATATATTTGGAGCTTCATCTATTTAATTTCTGCTAAACTCTTCTGTGTATTTGTTGTGTATTTTCCTCCTGTAGAGTTTCCAGTCTTTCTCAGTCTCTCCTGGATCAGCAGATGTTTCCAGCATCACTATCAGCTCTCTCCTCTCTCTTGATCATGTGGGGAAATCTGTTTCTAAATTAAAGGAGAAACTAGAGGATTTCTGCAGACAAGAGATTAAAAAGATCTCAGTAGGAGGTAAATAACAGACATTCGGTTATAGATTTACTTATAATATAGATCATAATATTACACTGAATTTGTATTTGTTTATGTTTGCTCACACAGACCCTGAAACCAGACATGACTTCCTACAATGTAAGTCACACACATTTCCCATACACACTTTACAAACTGTATATTACACTCCCTAACCCTACCTGCGAATCAAACATGTTTAAATAAACACATTTGACATCAAAGTTTCAGATATTAGTGATCTTGTAGGCTATAAAATAAATAGATTCTCACTCAAACTATTGTGAATTAAGTCTTCTGTATTTTCTCTTCATCAGATTCCCGTCTGCTCTCTCTGGATCCGAACACAGTGAATAAAACCCTCCTTCTGTCTGAGAGGAACACACTGGTTTCTTTCACAAACACACTCCAGCAGTATCCTGATCATCCTGACAGATTCGATTTTTACACTCAGGTGTTGTGTAGAGAGAGTTTGTATGGACGCTCTTACTGTGAGATTGAGTGGAGTGAAGGGATGTTTGTAGCAGTGGCATATAAGAGCATCAGGAGGAAGGGAGAAAGCAATGAGTGTCTGTTTGGATTTAACGATCATTCATGGATGTTACTATGCTCGTCCTCCACATGCAGTTATTATCACAATAGAAAAGAGACTGTTCTCCCTGTGTTGTCCAGCAGAAGAATAGGAGTGTATGTGGATCACAGTGCAGGAACGCTGTCCTTCTACGGCGTCTCTGACACAATGAGCCTCATCCACAGAGTCCAGACCACATTTACTCAACCGCTCTATCTTGGGTTTATGATAGGTTCAAATGCAAAAGTAAAACTGTGTGATCTAACAGTATAGATCAGCCGTTCCCAAACTGGGGTGCACAGTGTAACCACCAGGAGTGCGCGAGAGAATGTTTGTAATAGCTGAAAATTGTATCTTTTATTATTTTTATGCCTTAATCTTGGGTAAACTTTACATCATATTTTTAAGAGAAAAGAAATTCACAGAGAGAGAGAAAAAAAAATCACATAAGAAATTGTAATTTACAACCTATGCATACTCACTCATCTCGCTGTTTCACATCTGTGCCACAATAGCCCTGCTCTTTCCCATTAGGTGATAGTACATTCGTAGTTTTTTTTTTTTTTTTTTGCTTACTATAGTCATCAAAATGAACACACTGCAAAAAATGCTTTTCTTACTTCGATTTTTTGTCCTGTTTCTAGTCCAAATATCTAAAAATTCCTAAATCAAGAAGAATTTTCTAAACAAGCAAAACATATTATATTTAAAACTTGTTTTGAGAAATATTATGCCAATATTAAGTCAGTTTTTCCTTAAAACAAGCAAAATAATCTTCCAATGGGGTAAGCAAAATAATTTTACGTCAAAAGAAAAAACAAGATTTATTTGCTTACCCAATTGGCAGATTATTTTGCTTGTTTTAAGGAAAAACTGACTTAATATTGGCATATTATTTCTCAAAACAAGGCAATATGTTTTGCTTGTCTAAAAAATGCTTCTTGATGTAAGAAATTTTAGATATTTAGACTAGAAACAAGACAAAAAATCTAAGCAAGAATAGCATTTTTTGCAGTGCACCTGGTTAAAAACTGCCACTTTAAAGAAGCCAAGTACTCTAGGGATGAACCATATACATTGGCCTCTTCTAAGGAGATGTGCAGTGACATTGATTATATGCACTAGGAGGATAACGAATGAGGTGAAGAGGCTTAGGCGGAAACAGAGAAATCCAGCAGAGAAAGTGTATTTAGTTATTGTAGTTAAAAATGTGGAGTTTAATCGGAGAAAGGGGTGTTTGACAGGTGTCAAATATTAGAAGGGGTGCACACAGAAAAAAGTTTGGGAACCACTGGTATAGATGATGGAGATTTGACCCAAAAATATTGAAAATCTGCACAACTTATCAGCTAGATTTTAATCAAATTATATTTATTTGTAAAATTTCAATACTAATGAAACTGAATCACTGAAATAACGTTAATATGTTTAATAAATGTTTATTAATTATAAGACCCTTTGGAAACTTGTAAAGAGATCTAGTTGGTCAGTCGCAGCATCCAGTAAGCACATTTTTCAGTAATATGAGGGACAAGATGTCACATTTTGGCATTAAACTACATTCACAAAAGTGGTTTGATATACATGGAAACCACCGAATCCAAGTGAAGTGTCTTCTTTAATGTTATATATAACTTTTAAAATGATAAAATATGGGTGAAATAATCTTCAATTGTCATTCAGCATTAAAAAAAATGTACCAAATACTTAATCGTTGTTCATTTATTAATTTTCCTTCGGCTTAGTCTCTTATTTATCAAGGGTCACCACAGCGGAATGAACCACCAACTATTCTGGCACATGTTTGACGCAGTGCCCTTCTAGTCACAAGCTAGGACTGGGAAACACTCATAAATTATAGCCAAATTTTTCCAATTTTGACTGTGGACTGTAAGGGAAATTGGAGCACCTGGAGGAAACCCATGCCAACATGCAAACTCCACACAGAAATGCCAACTGGCCTAGCCTGGAGCTGAACAAGTGACCTTCTTGCTAACCACTGAACCACCATGCCACCCCCCTAATCATTATATTCAAGTGATCATACAAAATTAAATCTAAAATGATTAAAAACTGATATAGCTTGACTGTGATCTTTGTAGAATCTTTTAATATTAACTGGAATTAATTTTATTTATAATAATAATCATGGATCTTTTTTCGATATTTATTGGTTAAGCTTATTGCTGTCAGTGTCATGTGAATGAATGAATGAATCAACTTGAAGGCTTCAGATAAGCGAACTAAAGACCCAGGTAAGCAAAGACATCTTATTTTCTTTATCTTGCAGCATTTATGTTCGTAGTATTGTGTGATTATCATTTGCGCTAGTTGTAGATGTGTTCAAGAAGCAACATTTTAAAGACATTTTGGCAAATTGAACGAAATGAAATTATCTCGCTAAATGAGACTCAGAGTCGGTAAAATGATTCAAACTTTCCATAATTTACAATGATAAAATGCAATGCAAAATTGCCAGAGTTAAACAATAGTATCTTTATGATGCAAGCTGAGATTGCATCACTCAACGATGCAATGTCACACACAATGCACACAACCCACTTTTACTATGGTCATTTCCCAACACAAACATTACTGTGCAATATTTGACTGGAAGGGTGGTTAGGGTTAGTATTGTCTAGTATCGTTAGATTTGGCTTCCTGTCCACATTTAGATTTTAAGTTATTGCTTGATTATTTGACAGTTTTTCATCCTTTAGTACATGCTGAATGTTATAAACTAGAAAATAATAATAATAAAGTCAAGTAATCAACTAATTAAAGGTGACTGTGATTAGGCCTGCTTGACTAGAGAAGAGGTAAGTAACAGAAACAACATGACTTTGCTTGGACAGTGATTTAAGATCCTGTTATGCAGTTTAACGTTGATTAAAAAAATAATACACAATAATTACTATATTAATGCCAGTGCCTCATTAAATGTGCAAGACAAATCAACATACTTTAAAATCTTTTATTTTATTCAATGGATACAACTGTGTTAAAACAGAAGATATGAGTCCAATCTCCTGTATAGTGAATGTTTTTATATTAATCTGATAAAATAGGCTTTTATTTGAGGGGGGAGAACAGCACAACTCTGTCTGAATTCTTGTGTTTCAGATACTTTAAAACATAATGTAAGTTATATTAAAAAAATCTCATCTAAATAACATAAATACTTTAGTCTCGTGTTAACGTTATTAAAAATGATCACTTCACTGATGCAGATATTTTACCACAGATGCGACACATTAGCTGCAGACGTCTCATAAACAGATGATTGTTTCGCTGATCATGTCAGATTGTTATTTTAACATTTCTTTTTATACTTAAGCACATTTTCAGAATTCACATTGTCACGTGCAATTTAAAACTGTGAGGTTTTTGGTATGGAAAAATACTGGCAGGAAATGTACGCCACTGCTTCTCAACCTGTTATTATCATAGTCTAACAATGTTATCTTGTAATCCTGTAAAGACTCTACTTACGTTTAACTGGCCAGTCTTGACACAGAATGTCACAGAAACCCAACACAAATGCATATCTCTGCTTGGAATCATATATATTTTTAGTGGTGATTCTTAAAGGGATAGTTCACATAAAAAAAATTAAATCTGCTATTACTTAGCATTTACTTGTTTTAAACCTTTATGAGCTTCTTTCTTCTGTTGAACACTAAAGATATTTCGAAATATGTTGGAAACCTGCAACCATTAACTTCCATAGTGTTTATATTTCCTATAATGGAAGTCAGTGGTTACATGTTTTCAGCTTTCTTTAAAATAACTTCATAGAAATTGAAAGTAAATGATATGCAAAATTTCATTTTTGAGTGAACTATCCCTTTAATATATACTGGAATATATAGTTGTACGGTGTAATAAAACTTGATTTCTTTACTTTAAACTGTCCTTTATATATATAAAAACATGTTTGTAGACTACATGACAGAAAATAAGTCTTGTTAGTTTGCCTTGATGGTGACTATAGTTAAAGCCTGGAGCGCCAGTGGCTGAATGTTGTTCTCAGTGAAGGATGGCCAGCAGGAGGCGCTTGAAATCGCCTCCGCATTCAGAGCTGATGGCGTCTTTCAGAGTCACGTCGTATTTCTCCAGGTACATGTCTTTAATAGTCTCCAGATCAACCTGCCCAAGATAGAAAATGTCAAGCGGAGTTTTTTTCCCTCTTTTTTGTGGAAATGGTATAATGCAATCTTTGATATCGGTGTAATTATGCAACTAAATAATTTTCTGCAACAGGCTTACTGTTCAAATTAAGACACAAAGACCCCAGAATGGATGAAAACATCCCCAACAGTACATAAGGACTAAAATTGTAATAATATTTTACAAAATTGCATAGTTTTGGTGGACATAAGAGACTTCTTTAACACATTTAAAAGTCTTGAAAGGTTAACATCAACATGCCATATGGATAGGTGTTATAGTGTACCTCTGAGCGACACACGATGATGCGGATGAGAGTGTCTTCATCGGTTCCGGCTCCTTTCATAGCGGCGTTCAACCTCCGGGCAAAGAACAGCTGGGGGTTCTTAGCACACCTCACTATGGGTTAAAGAGTTAACCTGTTAGTGCTGAAGAGTTACCAATCAATTTAGTGATAGGATAGGATTTAACAGCTTGTGTAAGGGTAAACCCTCTTTTGGTGTTATTTAAAAACAACATATTAGAGGTATTTACTATGATAAGGTCATTGATGTGAACCTCGGTTGTTTGCAGAAGACCTTACATATGGATTTGTGGGAGTTTCACTTTCACATAGCCACCTGCTCACCCTGTTAAAGTCACGGTGGCCATCTTACAGTTGCCTCCATCTTTAGGAGCTTGCACAATGGGTAGTTAAATGAACTGCTAATTTCCCCCGGACCATTTTCCTGGTTGCATTCGCAACGATTACTACATACTCTGAAGCGATGCCTGCCAACAGTGACATCAAGCACTGCATTAAACAAAATCGAGGTGAGAAGATGCAGTGAATAGAGCTTTGTCTTCATTGTGTGTCTCATGTTTCCTGTTATAGAGACAAATGTAATTTAAAAAGTTAAAACTAAAACTGAAGGGGACTAAATATCTCTGGCAGCTTGTTGCACATACTGTCAAAGACTAAGGTACAGTAGTGGTCACCAAACTGTTCCTGGAGGGCAGGTGTCCTGCAGAGTTTAGCTCCAACCCTAATCAAACGCATCTAAATCAAGTTCTTACTAGGTATACTTGAAATTTCCAGGCAGGTTTGTTGAGGCTAGTTGGAGCTAAATTCTGCAGGGATACTGTTCTGGCACACCTATGTCACTCCAATTTCAATAGTCCTGGATTAGACCCTAAAGTGGGAACTCTGAACTAAAATCACTTGTAGTTCCTGTGTTGTGAACATGCCAAAAAGTAGACAATTCCATATAAATTCTGTGTAAAAGTCACTCATTACACACCCACGAGAGCCACCACTGCAACACTGATGTGATTTCCATTGGTGGAAAAGACAGTGACAGCCAATTGAAAGTAATGTGGATTATTGAGAGGACATGTTTGGTAAGGGCCAATAATACACCGGTTTTACATACTCTTTACAAGTTAGTTACAAATTCTTTGCCTTGCTATACTCAAAGCACAAGCTCTAAATCAGATAAAGTTGTTGTATCAACAAAACATTGTTGGGCTAGAAGCAAGAACTGCTCATGTCAGGGGCTGACGGTGGGGTTACCATGACCAACAAGACAGACACAAACTTTTTTGAGCAGCATTCTTGAAATAGCAGCATGTGATGCTTGCATACAAAGCCACTAACGTTAATAACAATGTAACAACGATGGCGTGTTTGCCGCTTCCACGTTAGTGTTGCAGGGAAAGATGAAACATATTCTGTGACATCCAACCTGGCTTCTTGGTGGCTCTCTAGACCATTGGAAAGCAAAGCAATTATTAGAAGGCCAGTGATAAGGCCTTGTACAACACCTCTGGTTCTGAACTGACCAGGCTTTTGGTCTGCCCCATTCTCTCTCTAGCAATCTTCTGGGATTTTTTATTTGCCAGAGCAACTTGGTCTGTTCTTCTGACAGCACACTGGGTTTCCACTCAACCTTTAGTGTTCCTGTGGTCAGTGTTTTCTGACCTTTTGTCTGTCTCATCTGGTGATGTTTGGTCTGTGGTGTATGGTGCTCTCATCTTGTTTGGCCCTATTTTTAGTGTGATAGGATCCTGCCTCTGTTGTTTGTATTGTCCTTGTGAGTGTACAGCTTTCAGGTTTCTCTGAGGTGTGCACTCAAATGTTTCAGTGTTTCAGGGCATGGTGTCTGAGTCCTGACACTTCGGTCATGTTTTGGTTTAGTTGCAGTGTCTGGGTGCAGACATCCATGTTTTCTTTGGTACTATGGTGGCCAATAGCTATGTTTCCATCCAAAAATGTGAATTAAATTTATGCGCAAAACTAGAATATTGCATAATATGTAAATGAAGCAGCTTTTGAATCCAACGAGTCAAAGAGAACAAAATCGTCACTTCCTGATTAACTGGCACCAAATATCAACAGAAAAACTGAATTTGCTGCGGTAGGAGAAGCTGCGTGAATCTTTTCTTTATTTAATAAATTACTTTCACCTTAGAAGATGATGCAAGACCCAATGAATGCCTGGTGGCGTTTGAAGCCATGAGACACGGAGTACATATGCTTTTGACAATATAATAACACTAATATCAAAATGGTTAAAGTGTTTTAGAATGGCCAAAACAAGATGTTTTACAATGTGCTCGGCCTGCTTGTTTGTCAATTCACACACATTTTTATCATCACATGATCTCTTATAACAAAATCACATGACTTTTTAATGCGCATACTGGAATTTGTTAGATAAAAGTGTTTCCATCGCAGTTAATGCACATCTATTCTTATCGAATAAAAAGCTTATCCTACTCAGTTCTGAATGTAAAATCTATGCGCATCTATGGCATTTCCATCCACCTATTTTTTATGCACATGGAATTGCAGCAGATCGTCTTGACCATGTCTGCATGCCTAAATGCACTGAGTTGCAGCCATGTGATTGACTGATTAGAAATTTGTGTTAAGCAAGCAGTTAGACAGCTGTACCTAATAAGGTGGCCGCTGAGTTTATGTCACTGGTAGTTCCTATTGTGCTGGCTTAATTTATTTTCTAAAAGAGTTCCTCGGTTTGAAAATGCCAAAAAGCACTTACTACCCCCAATATGAAAATGTTCCTCTGGAAAATTCAGACACACTTCAAGTTCTTGACACTCAATAGGTGTTTTTTTATGTCAATAGTTCACACTTAGCTAATGCTTGATACTGATTGCAGGTTTGGCATGCTGTCTCGGGACAGAACTTTGAGCTTGGAAATCCTTGAGCCCATTTATCATAGAAAGGGGTCAGATCAGGCAGGTCTCCTGAGCCTCCCCTGGTATAGGAATAAAAAGGGGAAGCTGGGGTGCATGGGGGGATTCTTCAAAAACGAATATCAAGGTAATAATGGGCTATTTATGTACTGTAGGCTTGAATTCGTCTATTGGTTTGGTTGGTTTATTGTTGATTGTTGACGTGAGACCAGCTGTGGTCAATTATAGCATGTGATTCTCTCAAAATTAGTTTATAAAACTTCACTTAGTTTCAATGGACGTCGTCTCTGCTTTTCCACTATATCAAATTCTATGTGAAATTCAATATTTGTCTGAAGAAGGCATGTGTTTAATACAAACCAAGCGTGGTGTAGCAGTCCTTCAGAGTTCCAGAGGTTTCCTTATCGATTGCATCCAGAATATCTGTTCCAGAAATCTGTTGGAGAACAATGTAAAATATAGAGGATATTAAACTTTATTCAACTTATTAAGCTTATTTACTTCCCCAAAGTTTTAGTTCACCCAAACATGAAAACTCTGTTATTAATTATCCACCCTCATGTTGTTCCTTTGTTCGTTGTCTCAACACAAATGAAGATAGAAACTTTCAACGAGGCCCAGAAAAGGAACCAAAAACATTGACAAAACATTCCATGTGGTTTAACTGTAATCTTGCAAAGGTCCAGAAACACTGTCGTATGCTAAAAACAATTTTAATGATGCTAATGAGTCAGATTGGGTGTATGCTTACTATATGCAATACTAAATGTTATTGTACTGCTAGCAGTAAACGTGCACACTGACACGGCGCAAAGTAATTTTTACAGCTGTATTAAAGATTTTCACAAATATTTCACCAAGTAGGACATATGTTCCTGGATTAACATCTCTGTTGATCGGGGAACAACATTCCAATCAGCTAATCAGAATTAAGGGATATGTTTACAGTTTATGTTAAGTTCTGGTTTCATGATTAGGTTTACAGACTTCTACATGATTGTTATTCAACTATTATTCCCCTCTGATTTTGAGTATAATTTACAGTTATGGTTGGTTTTAGGTGTAGGGAAAAGGTTTGGATTACATTTTCCAACAAAAATGATGTTCCAGGATCAACATAGATGTTTCTCCAGGATTGCATGGTACTTGGCGAAAACATGATGTGCGTTATTGGAGCTTCTTGTAATTTGTGTGAGGCTTTCGCTGTCTGTGGAGGGTCAGAGAGCTCTGGGATTTTATTTAAAATGTCTTAATTTGTGTTCTGAAGATGAACAAAAGTCTCAAAGGATTGGAACAATTTTTGAGTCATTAATCTTTTACGCTCAAAGAGAAGATAAACTCACGGCTTCATAGGCTTTGAACGTGGCCTGAAGTTGTAAGTAGTTCCTGGTGGCCAGAATGAAACTGAAAGTAGATTCATCTGTGCCAAGACTGCCCTCTCCAGCCTTACAAATAAATAAAACATGTATTAATAAAATGGGTTTAAACTTGACAAAATACAGTGGTTTTTAACACTGGTAATAAATATCAAATCAAATGTTTTGAGATTACATTTTGTTTTGAATAGGAAATATACAGTATAAGGAAATGTATAACATGGTTTACATTTTTGTTTTCTCTTCAAATTCACAAAGCTTTGATTAACAAATAACTAGATATATTAATATAAATCATACGTTCCACAATAAAAATGCTCATACAAATGCCAAATTTTATAAACCTCAATGTAAGTACGTTGGTAACTCTACACACAAGCAAAAGAATCATGTTTAGATGCCGATTAATATTGTATGTTCTGAGATGTGTGTAAGTCTTAATATATGAATATCTATGAAGAGAGATCGTGTTGAATGTCTCCTACTTCAAACAGCGAAACGGCATCTTGCTCCGCCAGTGCTTCGTCAACCTCGTAGCTCTCGTCTCTGTTACCCTGCAAGAGAGAAAGTATTGACGCCGTGACCGAGACAGCGAAATCCGAGTCCAAGTCACGTCATTGAATCCTGCCTCTACTTATCTAATGAAAGGGGATCTGAACCTCTGCCAAGCTCCAGAGCTCTACAGGGACAGGAGGAAGAGGGAGGGGTGCTAAACACACTGAGCGCTTTATGCCGCTCAAGGCTGCAGTCTAGTCATTTTGTAAGATGTAAACAGCAATTTTCATTTAAAGAGCACCTATGATGCAAAATCAACTTTTGTAAGCTGTTTGGACAGAACTGTGTGTAGGTATAGTGTGTCCACTGTCATATTTGAGTGCCATAAACACAATAAGTCTCTTTTTCTTAAGTTCCTGCCGTTAAAATACGATCAAATCTCATAGTAATATGTCTCCATTGTATGCTTGGGCTGTAATACAGTAATATGGTATACCGCGGGATCTAATAATAGCAACGTTGTCAGTTTTAATACCGTTAAATCATCATAAAAAATAATGCACTTAAATAGGAAACAAGTATTAAATAATAAATATTATTTATTTAATGGCCACAAATGCGTATGCGTGATTGTCATCACGGGACAGTGTGGAGGAGTGAGGTGAGGTAAGATGGTGAGTCGCGCACCAAGTGACCTGCAGTTTGGCAGTATTTCCCGTTTCGACCGAACGAGAAGGGAGACGTGGTAAATACGAGAGGTCTCCGCTGCTGTACCGCGGGATCTGAACAGATTTCCTGCGGTGCGGGAATAAATTTCCAAATAAAGTGTGGAAGCGGTCGGTAACTCTAGTGTAATTTGAAAGGGAGTGGACGTGCGATCTAACAATATCGCTCCCAAGCGATCGAGCACACGCTCATCCGCATGGATGCTGTGTAAGTGTGTGTGTGTGTGAATGAGAAAGCGAGTGGTGCTGTGTCGCTCTCTCTATGTGTACGTGTGTGTGTGTGTGTGAATGAGAGAGAGAGAGAGAGAGAAACGTGGTGCTGTGCGTCTCTCTCTCTCTCTCTCTCTCTGTGTGTGTGTGTGTGTGTGTGCATGAATGAGAGAGAGCGTCCCGCGCAGATCTCTGATAACAAAAAGACAAACAGGTGACTGCAAACCTAAGGTCGCATATATGGTATTCAGTTTCTGAATGGTTTAGGCACAAGCCAACAGTTTGGTGACGCTGTCTGAACCTTACGTCATCATTTTTTTTGCACAGTAATACCGGATACCGAGATAAAAAAGGGAAGGGGTTTGATGGTATCAAAATTTGGATACCGCCCTAGTCTACTTCATAGTCATGCGTATAAACATGTCCACAGAACAGGATTTGCAAAGAAACTGGGATTGAAAGATCTGTTTTAACTCTCTGTGATCAGCTGCAGCTCAAGAATGAGTTTTACAAGTTAAAAACGTTTTTAAAACCTGGCATGCTTGAAATAACGAAAATTAAATTTGCTATGTAATTCATAACCACTAGAATCACCACAGTCGCATGATGTCAGTACAATTATATAGGAGAAGCAACACTATTTAAGAGCAAAAAGTTAAACGTGTGTGTGTGTACTGCGAACTTTGTAACAGCATTTGTGTGCGACTCATCATTTCAGAAACGTCATACAACCTTACTTAGTATTTTTGACTAATAAACTGTATCTCTGCTTCATCCATGTCTGTCTCTGTCACTGACTGCGGTTTATCTGACATAACGCAGGAGAAGCAGACAAGCGCATGGAAACTGTGGGCGGGGAGAACCAGGTCATTTGCATTTAAAGGCACAGGCTACAAAAACAGCTACACTTTGCTCTGAGGCCAAAATAGATATATTCTGCATTGTATAATAAATGATCTGATGGGTATATTGAGCTAAACATTACAGACACCTCCTGAAACACAAAAGTGGTAAAATCAGAGCTGTTTAAGATTAAGAGGATTTACCTGGAGAAGCAATGTTAGCAGTCTCCTCACATCCCCACTGGTGTCTCCTTCAATGTCACTCTCCAAATCCCTGTCATGCACTGAAGACAAAAACAGAGAGATTGTTATAACCAAAGGTAGTTATTTCATAAAGAAATATATAAATTGCTCAAAATTAGAGGAAAAACACATTAACATATTAGAGAACATTTATAAATATAAAATGATGTAAATGTAAATTTCAATAGTATGAAAAAAAAAGATATCCAAAGACATAAAAATCACATAATTCAATTTGCAAATCAATGAATTAGGAATAATTTACTGACATCTTATCAATAATATGTACAATAATTAGAACAATAGTAACAACAAGTTTCACTTGTTTGAGGAAGTCCCATTCAAGGGACTGAAATAATCTCAAATGATAAAATTTGTACTACAAATAATCCACATCCGTACTGAAAGCCGAGCACTTTCTATCCATCATAAAAATAATACTGAGTTTACATTTACATTACATATAGGATAAAATAAGCACTTCGAATCATCAAGTCTAAAGGTTGGTATACTTCAAACAAAATCTAAACAAATGACTGAGATGACATCATTTCGAACTAAATCCAGCCAAAATGAAGTTCTTTTTGACTTCCAATCGGCAATTTGAAATAGCCCACCAAATTGATTTTTTTAAGGGAGTTCGTTTTATTCCAAAACCCCTTTGAGCTATCATTGGTCTGTGATAACTACGCAATTGGTGGATGTGTACTGGAACTATGTCTTCTTAGATGTGCATTATATCCAAGGAGTTCAGAATCAATGAAGAACAAAAAAAGAACTTTGTTTGAAATATACCAAACACTTAAGTAATTATTATTATTTTTTTATTAATAATGTTATTGTTTTTCCCTGTGTTGGGTTGCGGCTGGAAGGGTATCTTCAGCATATGCTGAATAAGTTGGTGGTTCATTCTGCTGTGGCCGTATAAATAAAGGGACTGAGCCGAAAAGTGAAGGAATGAATTTATGTGTTTTGTTTAGTATTTATTTAATGTGGTATATTAGTATTATAAGGAGCTCTTTTGTGTTTATTGTGTCTGTTCCTTCAGATTATTGTCTCTTCATATTCCATATGGTACGGTAATATTTAATATATAACAGAGTTTTTGTTTTCCTAAAAAAATATTTAGTTATTTTTATTAAGTGTTCTTTCCTAAATGTTTGATGGTTAAATTGTAAGAATGCTTTGACACCTCATTTTACCCTTTAAAAAGTTTCAAAGCATCATGGTAAGAATACATCTGTTTGGATTTAGTCTTGTTTTATCCGGCTAGAATAAAAGCAGTTTTAAATTTTTCTAAATGATTTCAGGTCAATATTATTATCCCCTTTAAGCTACATTTTTTCGATTGTCTACAGAACAAACCATCTTTACACAATAAATTGCCTAATTACCCTAATTAACCTAGTGAAGCCTTTAAATGAAACTTTTAGCTGAATACTAGTATCCTCAAAAATATGTAGTTATATATGATGCACTGTCAACATGGCAAAGATAAAATAAATACTAATTTAGTATATAATGAAAAAAAAGCTGTTCTCAAAAACTATGTGCTCAAATGCATTACTATTTTACAGCAATTAAATAGGTGATTCATACTCTACCTTGGGTGTAGGTCTCTTTGTAAAAGGCAATCTCCTGTTAGAAAACAAAACAGTAAATGACTCATTTCAATATGTAAATCCCTTCAGAGGAAAACATATTAGTCATGAACAACTATTTGTCCCTGCTCTGGAAATGGTCACATTCACAGGAACTTGCGGAAATGTTCAATTCAAAACAAACCGACATACATCATTGGTAGCAGTGCACAGAATCTCCACCAGCACATCCTCATCTGTTCCTGCGCCCTTCATTGCCTTCCTGAGCTCTTTAACTGCAAACACGTGAGGAGGGTCCAACATGGCAAGAATGGCATTCTCAAAATTCCCAGACAGCTCACTCTTCAGAACATCCACCAACTCCTTCAGGGAAAACAAATCTATGAGTGCAAATCTATATGCTTAAAATACAAATGCTATTTACTTTAGTGAACATTAAAGTTAAAAAACACTTCATACAAGTTTTTCTAAAACAAAGTAAACTTTGTTCCTCAAAGTTAGTTAAAAATCAAAGCACATAAATCTGATTTAAATTTTGTAGAGCCGTTCCTTTGACTTCAGTACATCTGTGTTAAAAGGATATCACTAGTTACTCACTTGCTTACACTGCTCTGCCACGATTTTACATTTATGTACAGTATTCAGTAGATACTTCTATCCAAAGAGACTTCCATTTGATGAAGATACACATTTACTCAAGTCTGGATTTTACTAGGAGTCAAACCCACAATTTTAACATTGCTAGCACCATGCTTATCAATTTGAGATACAGCAACTCTTGCTCTCTTTTCTTATCTTAACAGTTCAGTGACTTACTGAAGAAATCACTTTGTGGCCAAAGATTCCTGAGATTTTTAATAAGGTTCAGGATCAGGACTCTGGGCTGGCCATTTCATTATTTCAGTATTTCTAGTTTTTAGAGGCCTGCTTTACTTTTTTTGCTGTTTGACAGGATCTCATTGTCTTATGTATTAAACTTGCTGGTTAATCAGACAATAAAAGCAGGGAAGAAATATCATGTTGCCAAAGGAGCTTATGATAAACATTTGCATTCACTCTGTCATGAAGCTCTGTAGGCTCATCATTACAAAAACATGACATCTCTCCACCTCTCACAGACTACTACTGTACACACTTCTTTGAAAATTCAGGGTTTTCCCAGTATGATGACAAATACAATGTTTCTGATAAGACCCAAATATATTTGCATATTTAAATTGCTTTATTTACTAACGTGAACTTGTGGACCACAAGATACAGGTATCTGAAAGTTTGCTTATTTACCCATTTCAAATATTGATTAGTGCTCATTTAAAAATATCTTAAGCTTTTTATACTGTGCCTCAGAATACATGTAACTCATAACATATGCTTTGAAAACTGCTCTTTTAATCCTGTTAGTAATTTTAAATAAGTCTAAGCAGTGACCTTAAAGTTTACAAAGTTGTAGATTGCTCAGTAATTTTGATCTCCACTGTTTATTTTCATTAACTGCTTTTCCGAATACTCACGTCATCATATTTCTCAAAGTAGGCTTGCTTGATCTCCATTCTCTGAGCTGCACTTCGATAGGCTAGGATGTCTATGATGGCTTTCTCGTCCGTTCCTTGGAAATTAAATAGAAAGTTAGAATATTACACTCTAGTGACTTAAAGAGTATGCAAATAACAGACTAGCTATAACACAATGTCAAACTGTAATTGCAAATGAGATGTAATTGACAGACATAATGAATGCTTATTAGGATTTTAGAATCACATAAGAGTCTCACCGAAACCTTTGCAGGCTTTGCGGATTGCCTTAATGTCCGCAATTACATCAAAGTCTTCATAAGGCACAATTGTTGGCTGAAAAGAAAAGGAAGATATAAAGTCAGAATTCTTACAAATGTCATAATTGTAAAATACTTAGTCAAACCAAAAATTATTCAGACCCCAGAATTTGTTTTATTAATTATTATATACAATTTAAAATAATAGTTAATTTATACAAGTTCAAATAAACAAAACTGGGAACAGCAGGAAGAAACTAAAGAAGCTACTGCAGTGAGTCTAGAAAATGCTGAATTCCAGGCTTGATGAATGCACGTCTTGATTTTTCCAAGTACCTGATTATCCTGGATTATCATCCATGTTGATTCTAGAACATCATTTTTGTTGGAAAATGTGATTCATACCTATTCCCTACCCCTAAACCAAACAATAACAGTAAATCATTCCCAAAATCAGAGGGGCAATATTAGTTATGTATTATAACAATCATGTAGAAGTGCATTTACCTAACCATTAACTTTGATTGGCTGATTGGAATGTTGTTCCAGGATTAACATACAGTAGATGTTAATCCAGGAACATGTCCTACTTGATGAAATCGAGGTTTAAATGGCAAGAGTTCTTGTAGGGGACAAAAGTAAAACTGATTCTTATGTCCTTCTTCTAACAGTCATGGATGATTTTTCACTTCCACATTAGAGTTTGCAGTATTTAGATTCAGATGTTTTAAAAAAAAATGCATATTGCAAATAATAATAATAAAGATATTCTAATATTATAAAAATATTCTAAAATTGTAGAAAATTAACATATTGCATTGTTGGGTTGTTTAAGAAACATTTGATGGAGCTGAAATGTACAATGGAAATCCAGTTAAATGTTTTTTTTAATCGCATATATAAATATATTTGTGTATTTATTTTGTTTATATATATATATATATATATATATATATATATATATATATATATATATATATATATATATATATATATATAATACTAATACTAATAATAATAATAATATATTTGCAGTGAACATTAACAAGGCCAGATATAATTAAAATAAACAAGATTAAGCCAGTAAATCTAGCAAATATTGTTGCATTACTTTTGACCCAGCTGATGGGGTCAAAAGTAACAATGTGCAACTTTTGTTTAAAGTGAAGTTATATTGGACGTATTTTACAGTGATCCAAAATAACACCGGATTTTGATAGAGCACTTTTGGGAGGTAATAACCACCAGAGCAATGTATTTCTGCTAAAACCATTATCCTTTAATGTTGAGTTTTTATTAAAAATTGTTTACTTTTGTCCCCGCTCTCCCCTGTGTGTTGGAAAAATTATCTTGATAAATACTCTTGAAAAATAATAAATTCCACAATTTCAGATTGAAATTGATTTAACGGATTTATTTGCATTTTATTTACATCTGTACTGAGCAACAATCTCTCCAGCGACTGAATAGGCTTGTGTGTCAGTCTCCCCCTATATTAACAAAAGCCATGGAATGCTCGGAGGAAGCGCCCTGTCCAAACACACAGTACCGCCCGATGGAGGCCCCTCGAAAGGCAAATATGAAGCGGAGTTTGCCACCATCTCCTCCCAAAGCGTTTCCTCTGACTCATTGACATAACGGGACTGTGACACATTCCTTCCCTTCCTTTACAGCATCATATATATAACAGTATACACATTTAAATAGCAAACAATTTGGTTTTAACGTTTAAGAAAACAAAAACAACCGGAGACGAGGCAGAAAAAAAAAACACACACACGAGACGAATCACAGTCGGTAAAGGATGCGCTTCTCAAAAACATCCTGACAACGCAGTACAAATGAGTCAGAAATCATAACTGGATTTTATTCGCTTGTCTCAACCTTCAGTTTTCTTTCCTTCTCCATATGACAGATTTTAATTTGATTACTTCTTTGCGACGACGAGTCCCGTAGTAAACTCAGCGCAGATGCTACAGCGGTTACCTACCGATTTACGACCGCACTAAAGTGTGCGTTAGCAGAGAAAATGAAATGAAATACTCACTTGACAGTTTCCCATGATGAGAGTTTGGTGTTTTTGATGATCTGATGATCTGACCGCTGTCCGAACTGCAGGCCACACGCAATAGTTTCTGTAAGTGACGTCAGCACGTAGGGGAATAACGGGATGGATTGTAAACGTGCCCCATGGATGAGAGCCAAAATGAGCATTTAGAAAAATAAACATTATTGTTCAGCGTTGCTTCTGTAAGCAGCCTATTTATAATTCTGACAAATGTGCATATGTGTCACAATTCAACTTTTTAAGCATTTAGAAAGTAAATGAAAACCTCAAAACAGCTATATTGTGTTTTTACACATAGCAAAATTAAATGAAAATAATTTAAATTAGTTTTCAAATTCCCCATTTATTAGGAGATACACAGTAACCTGCCTGTTTAAAACATTTCTTTACAATGTATACAATGAAGTAAGGGAGCCCTCTATTGGGCATTAAGCGGAAAAATATTATGAAAAGCATCAACTAGCCCAGTGGTTCTCAAACTTTTTTCACCAAGTACCACCTTGGAAAAAAATCGTCTCTCCAAGTACCACCTTACGACGCTATTTTTTAACCAGTATTAAAAAATAGCGTCGTAAGCCTAATTAAGCAGCTACAGGTGTGCACAGTTTTAAAACGAGGCAGATTACTTCCTATTAGTAAGAATATGTATTATTGTCAGTCACTTTAAACATTTGAAATAGTCTGAACATTAACTGTGCTTGCAGATAAAAAAAAAAGTTTTAGTTAAAATGTGCTTTTAAAAGTTCATAAAAAAATGGCGCTGTTCTTAAAAAGTAAAAAGAAAACTGCTGTACTTAAATCTAAAGTATTCATAGTAGCCTATTCATCAAAAGCTGGAAATGCTGCTTGGACCTTATAAATATAGGCTATATGTCATATTCATACACTTTCAGACAAATCTTGAAATAAATGTTAAATGTACATGACAGGGTTCATACAGGCACAGCCTAATGAAAGTCAATTCCAGCACCTATTTTTTTTTTCCAAGACTGACATGCTATGTATTGAAGACCTGAAATGTATTCTCAGCAACCCATTAAACACTGCATAGGAATAGATACAAATAAAAACCATTAATAATAATATTTATTAATCATATATTAATAATATAATAAACCTGCACTAAGTCCTTGTGAAATCTTTTTTGTACTCAAGTAAAAATACTATTACACTGCTAAAATAACAAAAATTTTAGTAAATAATACTAATATTAGTTAAAAGTACAAATTACTCTTTTAAAAAGTACTAGTTGGTTACTTTTGAAAAAAAATCTTATTTTCATTATGAAATCACTTTTTTTAAGTGTAAACCTAATTTAATGGTTTGATTGCTTAGCTTGCATAGCTAGATGTATAATTTGCACTAACAAAGGAAGTATAGTCAATTTTTCCTTTCATGACAATTAATCTTTTTCAATAGCACTGGTAAAACTACCAAATAATCTTTAAGGCCATAGAGACACTTTTTGCCCATTTTTAAAAATATATATTTTTAAGCTTTGAAAGGTTAAATTAAAGTATATGGTAAAAAGATTTAAATTTAGCCTTTTATTTACATATTTTACACTATTTTCTTTACAATATGGCAAATTTGATTCTTAAATAGCTGTACATCACATGTAGATTTTATTTTACACTTGATCTTAATCTAAAATAGAAACGTAAAAAAATACAAGTACACTGTCAGTAAAAAAATAAAACAAATGACTTCATTTTACTTGAGGTATTTGAAATATGACAACACTACATTTATCAAAGCAGTGCTTTAAGAGCCTTATTGTAAATTGTGATAAATAAACAATAAGTAGGCTAACAATGGATTGCTTTGACCTGTAATGCTTTAGGACAGATCAGAATACAGCTAAATGTATAAATCACACAAATACCTCATCCAGAAACATTTCCAGCATAATTATTTTGTCGTAAAGAAATAAAAAAAGTTCCACCTTTGCTAAAAGTAAGTTTCACTTCACAACACAGCCAAATAAGAAGACCATTAGCATTGTCATCGATCATGTATCAATCTATTTCTAAATATTTGATAACTTTGAATACTTTTGATTAAATTGGTAAGGAGCAAAGATAAATAATGTATTCTTTAATAGTGGAGAGATCTCGATTGTATTCAATCTGAGCACACACGCGATCATGAGAGCACTTGCAGTTCATTTGAAAAAAGCCTATTTAAGAGCTCACATATTTGTTTTAGCGTGAATGTGCTCTCGTGTTAAAAAAAAGCACTCGCCGCATTTGCAGAAATGAGTAATTGCGCAATACCTTCATTCCCGCGCCGCCATTCAGAATGTATTTAGAGGAGTGACAGGTCAGAGGCGAGTCGACTAGCTGTCGGACAGCGAAACGTGTATGAACATCAAATAGGCAGGAAATATGTCCGCGGTTTAATTACTCTGCTAGACATCTCTGTAGTGAAAACATCCGAGAAGCATTATTCCAACAAAACATTTGTTTTTAAGTTGTTTTTTCTGTCTCTGCAACACAGAAAGCCTTTGTCCCGCCCTTACGTTTCACGCAACTAGACAAGGTCGACTGTGATTGGCCACTTTTCATGTCAGTCAAATCACGCTTCAGAATCAATTCTTAAACTTCGGAAACTGATTTTCAGCAGCTTATGTCACAAAGCACTAAAATAAACATTCTAAGCACAGAGCTGTGATCGTACGCTTCACAAAACAGCCAATGCTGATCACATCAATGTTATATTACGCATTAAAGGATTAAAGTGTTGTTTCTTTCATTATTTAGCGATTCCTCCGCGTACCACTAGGAGGAAGCCCGCGTACCACTAGTGGTACGCGTACCACAGTTTGAGAACCACTGAACTAGCCTATTTATATTTTAAAAGCAAACACTATTTAAATTATAAAATACTACTATTACTACTAATACTTATACTACTACTACTAATAATAAATTATTAATTAAAAATCAGATATAATATTGAGATAATAAATATTACAGTATTTAATGATAATACAGTTTAACAATGTTTAAACTAACATAAATTACACTGACCTACAGCAATGAATGCAGATCAGCATTTTACATCACGTTTGTCAGAATGAAGAAATTAAATCAATCAAAGAAATTAGCTCACTTAAAAATCCTTATTTGGCTCTATTTTATATTTTATTATTATTATTATTATTGATGATGATAATAATAATAATAATAATAATAATAATAATAATAATATAGTAGTTGTTGTAGTAGTAGGCCTAGATATAAAAATAAATTATTTACTTTAACCAACATTAGGTTACCAGTATTTTACTTTAAATTAAATGGCCAAAATGTAGTTTCACATAAAAATAATAATAATAAAAATCAGTTTTAATGAAATTTGTCACAAAAGGAAAGGGTTAGATCTGCACTTTGATTTCTGACACGGAGAACTGTAGGAGTTTGTGGCTGAAACAAAGTGCTCAATTTTTACCACTTGATGTCAGTATACCACAAATATTCAGAAAAAAGCTATAAAATCACCATTACTGTTGTTTACCTTGGATTTACCACACATTCATAAACAGAAATTAGTGCTCAACCCTGTTCCTGGAGATCGACCTTCCTGCAGATTTGAGTTGCAACATATATCAAACACACCTGCCTTTAATTATCAAATGCTGTTCAGGTCCTATTAATTGGTTCAGGTGTGTTTGATCAGTGTTGGAGCTGAACTCTGCAGGAAGGTAGATCTCCAAGAGCAGGGTTGAGCAGCCCAAAGCTAGAAGAACCCCTCCCGCCATTTTAAAAAGATTATTCAAAGCAGAAATTAAACACTGTATTGAGTTACTTCTTGGTCTAATAGTAAAGTAAGTACACAAGCAGATATCCTAATGTTGATCTCAAATCACCTCTTTGCGGTTCCCTTTCTTTGCAAAGCATTTTGTGTAGAATAATTCTGAAGGATGTGTGCAATATACAATCAGAGCAGTCCGCATAAACTAAAACTGTACAAAATAAGATTAGTAAAATGGTCCAAATTAATAAAGTTAAAGCTCACAGAATGTATCAAGTCTTCAAACATAACAGGAAAACCAGTATGCACTGCAGAAGCCAAGTAGAACAAAAAATATGGAAGACCTGTTGTCAATGGGTCATATGCACACAGACTTTTAATTTTCAGCCAGCCAGCCAGATGGCTTCCGGGGAACTTTCCATCACAAAATCGCCACGTTTAAGATCAGTTTTCTTTAAAAAAGAAGGGATTTTCACTGCCTGCTATTGGTTTATACCATACCTGCCAACATTCGGATCATAAAAGACGGGAGATTTTATCCGGGGGTGTGCGTGAAGTGAATAGTGGGAAGCGCGTTTAAAGATGATTGCGCGTTGGGGGTTCGGTGCACATGGGGACTGAACCAAAAAGCTAGCCGGACTGTATCAAAAAGCTGAGGAATTGAGGAGGAATTCTGGGAGTTTTTCGAGAGACAGAACAATATAAATATAAATATAAATAAAACTGAGATCGGTGCTCAAGTCTGCATCTGTGCGTCCTCGAAATCAGGAACACTTCCGGAAAGTTTCACGCATCTGTTCTTGCGGTCTTGAGTATTGGGACTGAACTTTGACAGTTGATGATGACGTTACACGAGAACACGAGGACGCAAGACCGCTGAAGAACGCATATTGATAAACAGCCTCTTTTTATCTTGCGTGGTCGCATAGCCCTCGTCGTGGCCATTGCCAATGCTGACACACACCTCCCAAAAAATGTACGCGTAGCGCAAGCTCTGTAATTGGTCGGCTTGGTAGAGCTGGTAAGTGTGGGCGAGACCGAAAGCCAATGAGCGAGTTTGAGCCACTTGTACATTAAGGTAGAAAGCAAAACACCAGCAAAGAAACTCGCCACAGAGCAACATAAAAACCTACTGCCAGCTAGCATGTTGGAAGTGTTATTGCAGAGCAACACAAACAGCACGCTGAATTATAAATGCATAGCGCAAGACAGGTGCCGTGGGACACACTAATCACTCAATGCAGAA